GGAAGGAAGGAAGGAAGGAAGGAAGGAAGGAAGGAAGGAAGGAAGGAAGGAAGGAAGGAAGGGAATGAATGCAACCTCAACCACTGTACTTTTTTCCCTGAATTTGAGCTTCTAACTCCACCTCCTCTTCTCCTCCTCCTTCCTTTTCATATTCTTCTTCTCCCCCTCCTCTTCTCCATCTTCTTCCCCCTTTCCTCCTCTGCTCCTTCTCCTTCCCTTTCATCTCTTCCTTTTCCTTCTCTTCCTCCTCTCCTCTTCCTTCCTTTTCGCCTCCTCTCCAAAAATATCTGCAAATCGCTGTCTTTTCCCTTCATCCCCTCTTCCCTGCCTCCCACAATAATGATTGGAAAAAATAAAAGCTGTTGGGTGAAAACAAGAAACATCTTCCTTTCTTCTCTTCTCCTGATCCATGGCAGATGTGGACATTTGCCTTTGCCGGAGTTATTGGATAGCTCCACACACTTCACCCTGCAGCCCTTTTGCGTCAGCCCAGCTCCTCCTCCACAGACAATGTTCATATGGGTGCAATTAAGGCTTGTTTTAATCTTGCTTAAGAATAACTGCCATTTTTCCATAATAGTTTATTGTCCTTAGCGCCTCGCCCATCAGCTAATTGTGCTGCACCGGATGTCATGCGTGATGTTGTGCTTTGAACCATCAGCTCTTCATGGAGGGAATCTTTCCTAAAAATAATCATAATTTTGCTTTGAGGCTGGTTTTAAAAGAAAGCAAACCAAACTCCAGATTAAATGTCCTCTTTGCAAGAAAAAAAAAAGAAGATCCAGTCTGCTTCTGATTAGTGTTATTGAAGCAGGCACAGCTGGGCATAACATTGCAGTAAACAGTGGTTTCTTTTAATCATGGTTTGTTAACCATGCCTCCGTGGCTTTCATTAACCCATGAAAAGTAGCTTGCTAATCACAATTGCTAAGATTGCAGAACACACCAAAATTGACTGAAAAGCACTGGGAACGTGAGATGACTGATAGTAACTTGTGAACATAGTTCTTAAGAAAGCAAATTAGAAAAATCTCGTTGTGTCTTGTTTTCTATTGTCCAATATTGTTAACACTGGTTTAATTCATATGAACCCAGTTAACCTGTTTATTGCTTTAATTTGTTTTCCCGTTGATAGAATACAGTGAGTTCTAAATCAACCAGACAGACTGAATTTACAAAACACACACAAAATTGCTTAGCACCAGCATTAGATATTTTGCAGTTCAATACTTCTAGTTTTGCAGACACGAAAATAAAATTTAGTCAGTCTGATTTGTTTATAGAACACAGAATAATGGAGTTGGAAGGGACCTTTGAGGTCTTCTAGTCTAATCCTAACCCTATACCATTCTGGACCAATGGCTGTCCAATATCTTCTTGAAAACCTCCGGTGTTGGACCACTCACAAGTTCTGGAGAAAATTGTTCCACTGATTAATTGTCCAATAAAATCTGCATATATGGGCAGGATCTCCCTCCTGCTCTCTCTCTCTTCTCTCTCTTACTCTTTCTTCTCTCTCTCACTCTCTCTCTCACTCATTCTCTTAATCGCTCTTATATCTCTCTTACTCTCTATTCTTTCTCTCTCCTACTCTCTCTCTTATTCTCTCTTTCACTCTCTTTTTCTCTCACCCTCTTCTTTCTCTCTCTCTCATAATCTCTCTCTCTCTCACACACACACACTCATTCACTCACTCACAAACACACACACCAACGCCACAGCCACTTTTCGTGCAAAATGGCCTTAGGAAGCCTTTAATCTGTTCTGGGTTTCCTTTCAATTCTTCTCTGGCCAGGAATAGCTGAAACCAGTTGCTGCAACAACAGACATTTTCTTTGGATGGGGTTCCTTTGTTTGTGGATCCAGAGGAGAAGCCGGGGCAAAGAAATAAACATTACAGTTCAGATGGAAAAGATAGCAGCGGGGAAAGTAGATGTGCAGCTTGTTTTTATAGCGAGGAGGTCGTGAGCTTAGCTTGCTGAGAAACAATTTCTGAGAAAGGAATGGAGAGGAATGGAAGGAGGAAGTCGCAATAAAAGTCTCTGGAAGCTTTTTCTGATCAACTTTCCCAGTTCTCTGACATCTGAACTGAGATTTTTTTCCCAGAATCCTTTGGCAAAGCGTCGCTAGGAATTCTGGAACTTGGCACCTGAGCTTTTGACTTCCCGGAATTTGTTGGTAATGTCCTTGCTAGGAATTCTGGGAAATTCTGACAGTCCAGCAGGTGTCAAAATCAGCTGGAGGGAACCTGTTGTTGCTTCAGCTGTAGTTGTAAACATGGCTGAGTGCTGTTTCTCTAACGTGGGGAAGGCTTGAAATAGTTTTCAAATTAAAAACCCATCAAGAAAACATTCATACAGAACTGCCACCACTTCGAGGAAACACCTCGAAGAGGGAATCAAACATTAGCATAACAAATCCCCGTGAGTGTGCATGAGTAGACATGCATAGAGTGCACTCAGGCCCCTACAAGCACAGAATAAAGAAAGCAAAGGTAGGATAATTTAACAGGGGTGGAAACTAGAGGCTAAACTGTACCATGAACAGTTAAGGGAACTAGTCTGATGAGGAGAAGAACTAGGGATGACAGGATAGCAGTCTTCCAATATTTGAGGGGCTGCCCCAAAGAAGAGGGGGATCACTGGAAGTTTTAAAGAAGAGATTGGATAACCTTTTGAGTGGGATGGTGTAGAGTCTCCTACTTGAGGAGGGAGTTGGATTAGAAGACCTCCAACCCTATTATTCAGCATTCTATAACAACCTCGAAGAGAGGAAGTTGAAAAGACTCTCATTCTACCTTGGAGAGTTTCGTTCCTGGAATTTAATTAAGGCCTCTCCTTTCCCTCCCTCCCTCCCTCTCGTCTCTTTAGGGAAGGCTTACGAAATCACCTACGTGAGGTTGAAATTCCACACCAGCCGCCCGGAGAGTTTCGCCATTTACAAAAGAAGTCGGGCTGAAGGACCATGGATCCCGTATCAGTTCTACAGCGCCTCTTGCAAGAAGACTTACGGAAAGGCGGAACGGCAGTTTTTGAGACCTGGAGAACACGAGCAAGTGGCCTTTTGCACGGATGAGTTCAGCGACATATCTCCTCTCAGTGGTGGAAACGTGGCTTTTTCCACCCTGGAGGGCCGGCCCAGTGCCTACAGTTTTGATCAGAGCCCCCTCCTCCAGGTATTAAAAGCTAGACAGAATCCTAATGTGATTCTTCTGCCTTTTGCTTCCTTCCAACTCTCATTGCATCCGATGGAATTTCTGAAGTATTATATACAGAGTGCTGTGGTGGCCTAGAGGGGGGTGGGGTTCTCGCCTCACAATCAGGGAGGTTGTGAGTTCGATCCTAGATAGAGGCAGATATTTCTCTTTCTGTGCATGATGAGAATATATCCGCTGAGTATCACTCCACATTAGCGACAGGAAAGGCATCCGGCCAGTAAACACTCAGCTCCATTCCGATGCGAGGGATTACGGGGGTCATTAAATGTAGATGAACACATTTAGCTATAAATTAGGTAAATATATTCATCTACATTTAATGATCACCAATAAATAAATAAATAAATAAACATTCATTCCGGACCAGTTGCCTCTAATATTTTTATTATTCCACAGGAATGGGTGACCTGTACCGATCTGTTGATCTCTTTGGACCGCCTCAACACCTTCGGGGATGACATCTTTAAGGATCGCAAAGTGCTTCAGTCTTACTATTATGCCATTTCAGACCTCTCCGTTGGGGGAAGGTAAGATGAAACTTTATAAGAGGGAGTCTCTGAGTGATTTTGGAGGGTGGGATGAAATAACTCTTATCAATAGGAGAGAATATTTGTAACTCAGGGTCCCCTTTGGTGACTTCCTGACAAGCAAAGCCAATGAGGAACACTTAACAACCGTGTTACTAACTTAACCACTGCAGTGACTCACTTAACAATGGTGGCAAGAATGATCATTAAATGAGACAAAACAAACTGAACGAATGTCTTGCTTAGCAGCAGAAATTTTGGGCTCGATTGCAGCCGTAAATCAAGGACATCCTGTATGTATAATCTAGAATTACTGACTTTTTCTTTAAATGTTAGGTGAGTCATCTTTTGATAAATTGATTTTCTTGGCGAGGCCACTAAACAGGGAGGGAATTCTCTACACTATCTTTTTCTCATCCGTCCTGTTTCTAACCGTGTTAAATCGGTCTTAGCGTTTTTGTCTTCCACTTGAAACCTGAAATGCAGTAGCTTCTACCCTGGTTTTAAGAAAAGCGCCCTTCACGTAAAGATGATGTCTCTCTCATTTGAGGTATTGAAATTTTACGCGGCATGCATGTCGGAGGATAACGGAAATAATCCACCAGGGCCCAGTTAAATCATATTTAAGCAGAAACGTTCAATAAAGCGTGCCTGGAAAGATGCTCCTCAGCTGAACAGTGAGGGAGACATTCTATCCTTAGATTTGATTAGGGAATAAGGCATTAAAATGTGATTAAAGTGCTATAACACACAATTAAAGTCTATCTGAAATAACGCTTTAAAAAAAAAAATCGCAGAGGTTCAGCCAAACGAAGAAGAAAGATTAGTTAGAGGAGACATCCAGCCGTTTAAATCACAGGTAGATCTCAAATTACAACCATTCGTTTAGTGTCTGTTTGAAGTTACAACGGTTTAAGGACCGTCCCAGCATCCCTGTGGTAATCAAAATCCAGGTGTTTGGCAGCCGGCCTGTATTTATGACAGTCTCAGTGTCCCGGGACCTTCCCAGCCAGCCTCCGACAAGCAAAATAAATGGGGAAGTACAGTTCGCTTAACGTCTGCATGATTCCCTTAACAGCTGCAGTGATTCATTTAACAACGGTGGCATGAAATGGGGAAAACCCGCTCAGCAATTGCCTTGCTTAGCAGCAGAATGGTTGGGCTCGTTTGCAGTCGTAAGTCGAGGACTACCTGCGGTGGAAATTGCAATTACTTCTTTTTTTCACTTAAAATTCATTATTTCCCTGCTAAACCCCATCGTCTTTCCCATTCATAAAATTGATGAAACGGTGGCTATTTTTCATGAAAAGGGCTCCTTTCCCTTCGCTGCCAGAGCCTCTTTGAATATATTCTGTGTTTGCTCTGCTTGGGAAGACAGGACATATATTTTCTTTGGATTCTCAGGTGGTCCCGGCACGCCGTGGGGTTTTTAAATGAGGTGTGTTAAACTTTGCAAATTAAATATGATGGATGCTTTCCCTTGGTGCAGAGAGAAGAAAGGGAGATATTCCCCAGCGTTCTGCTCTGAAATATATATATATATCATAAATAAATATATATTCCTTTCTTTGGTCTCTACCTTGCTAATTTTCACTGCCCCTGGCTTAGCCGGAGTCCTGAATTGTGTCCTGCGGGAAAAGGAAATAGATTTCTTATAAAATCCTAAACAGACCACCCTGGTTTTATTACTCAGTCATCTTAAACAGCTGGGACATTTTAATCAGCTGAAAAGGCTAATGACCCCTAGACCGAAGAAGTGGTGGGAGTGATGCTCTGTGGAGAAAACATGACCAAGGATGTCATATAACTTGATTTGTGTTGCTGGTCTCCAACTTTGCTGATTGCGTGTTCCAGGCTAAGAGGGGGACATTCAGAAAGAGGCAGCATTGTAGAAATTGGCTATGCGGCCACTGGCCTGAGGTTGAACCCAGGGAAGTTGAAATGGTGTTGGAGCAGCAGCATTCAAGAAGACTACTAACCCATCGGCTAAAGTGTTGGAGGAAGATGGCAAGACCTAATCCTTGGCGGGTGGGGGTTGGAATCCAGCCATTGTGACCGCAGCTTCCTTCACCGAGCGCAAATGGCTCTCCCCACCATAGTGGCGAGGCCACCAATCTCAAAGAACCTCCGGTATCTTTTCCAGGTGCAAATGTAATGGCCATGCCAGCGAATGCATCCCTAATGAAGATGACCAGCTGGTTTGCCTCTGCCAACACAATACTACCGGGGTAGATTGCGATATGTGCCAGCCGTTCTACCAGGACCGCCCCTGGGCAAGGGGTACCGCTGAGTCAGCCAATGAATGCCTTCGTAAGTTCCCCCCCCCCCGGCTGTTCTTTATTTTGTTTGGGGGGGGAGGGGTCCATTCAACTCTTACAAGCAGATCATGCCCACCACCAACATGTCTCAGCTGGCACACAAAACGTACCAAAATAAGTACAGTATATAAAATCATACATTGCAATGTCCTACCTGTCAATGAATACTTCAGCTTCAACCACAACAATACAAGAGCACACAATAGATACAAGCTCAAGGTTAATTGCACCAAACTTGATTGCAGGAAATACAATTTCAGCAACAGAGCGGTCAATGTCTGGAATCCTCTACCCGACTCTGTGGTTTCTTCCTCAAACCCCAAAAACCTTAACCTTAGACTGTCTACTGTTGACCTCATCCCTTTCCGAAGAGGTCTCTAGGGGGCGTGCATAAGCGCACCAACGTGCCTACCGTCCCTGTCCTATTGTTTCTTTTTATTTTTCTTACGTGTATCCAGGTATTCATAACTATGTTTATACTTACACCTATTATCTTGTAAGCAATTGACAGATCGAATCAAATCAAATCAAAATAAAAAAATAAAAAAAATGTGCGGTTGTCTCTATCCAGCATGCAACTGTAGCGGTAGATCTGGGGAATGTTATTACGACTGGGAACTGTACCGGAGCACCGGGCATGGTGGACATTGCGTGAATTGCCAGGAAAACACTGCCGGACCTCACTGCGAATACTGTCGGCCAAATTTTTATCGTTGGGATGATGAAATGGCGTGTCAGCCCTGCAATTGCAACCAAGCAGGTAGAGTCATTGGAAGATGGGACAATAATTTATTTTACCTGGAAGGGTGAACAGCCAAGGGAAGTGGTAGCATCGTTAACCTTCCACAAGAGTTCCATCCCATAGGAATGGAAAACGAATTATTTTTATTTTGCATGTCATCGAACTCTAAGCTTGGAAGGAACATGAGGATCTTCCAGTTCTAAGCAGGAAATAGAGTCATGCTATGCAGACATTGCTTGAAACCCCGTAGTGATGGAGACTCCATATATCCTTTTTCCCCTTGTCCCCCTTTTCTTTCTTTAATGGGGATGCAGATTTAATCAAGACATTGGTGGACATTGAAGCCTAAGATTGGGTAATCTTGTTATTGTTACTGTCTTTCCTTCTGTTTTTTTTCTTATTCCTTCTGCCTTCTCATTATTACTTCTGTCTTCTTATTGCTTCTGTCTTTTTTATTCCTTTTTTCTTCTTATTCCTTCCATCTTCTCATTACTGCTTCTGACTTTTCCTTCATTTTTCCGTCTTCTTATTCCTTCCATTGTTTTCTTATTCCGACTGTCTTCCTAGGTTCTTTGAATCCTCAGTGCGATGCTGCAGGGAAGTGTGAGTGCAAAGTGACAGTGACAGGCTGGAAGTGCGAGCGATGCCAAGAAGGATTCCATTCCCTGAGTGAAGGAGGGTGCAGGTAAATAACAAGGAAGTAAGAATGGAAAAGTTATCTGCTCTTTTATGTAATGTGTAGCTGCTGATGTGAAATAGACTGCCCACTTCTGGCTTTGTTTTTTAGACCTTGTGCTTGTAACTCTGCTGGAAGTTTGGGGATGTGTGACCCTAATTCAGGGCACTGCAGGTGCAAGAAGAAAGTAGAAGGGTACCTGTGCAACAGGTAAGTAAAATGTTTGAAAACTGAAATCTCTTCTTCTTTTTCATCTACCTCTCTTTTCATAAGTAACTTGACAGAATCGGTTGTTTTCTTCGTATGATTTCCATTGATGCTATTGAGAACCACATTTTTTTTAAAATGTGTAAATAAATAGACAGAGAGGCAACCATAATTGAAGGCCCCAAAACATCCCTGATTGCATTGCCAAATTTTGATGGAAAAAGGTGAAATTTTGAGAGTGCAATTTAGAATTTAAAAACACCCATGAGATTGAACGTCGCAGAATGCATGTGCTGAGCATCGGAGGCATGACATATTTTTTTCCTATTTAATGTTTCCCTCCATATTTTTTAAGATGAAATTTTTTTGACCACAATACCAGACATTCTCCTGGTTGTAAGAGCAAACTGTGAAACCCTTTCCATAGCCAAAAACATAGTGTACCTCATTTACATTGAACAAATAGGCACACCGAGTCCTAAATTAATAGTCCAGATTTGAATAATAGCTGGGACTTGACACTTGGAAGGGACCAAACTGATTGGCCTCAAACTATTATCCATCCATCCATCCCTTGTTAGAACAACGTATTCTAGCTGTGTGGAGCTGTCCAAGGTCCTGAAACATAACGCCATTTTACCAGCTTAAACCACCCTAGATTTTTCTTGAGGGCTTTCTTTGATTTGTAGAGGTTCTCACTGAAATTTTGGGGCTTGGATTTTCCCCAATAACAGCTCACACACACACTGCCCCTGAAAGAGGGTTAGAGAGTGAGCATAGCCACTGTCTGCTGTCAGTAAAAGTTGTATGCGGGAAGAATGATTATGCAGAACTACAGGTTTATGAGATCCTTACGTGATGAGGACTCAATGCAGAGAAGGGAAGAGAGAAGACAAGGGGTGGATCACCATCATGGACTGCCATCAGACAGGCCCTCAATAAAGAGGGCTCAAAATAGAAGAAATAGAGAATTGGGACAAATAGTTAAGAGAAGTGTTGGACAATATTCACCATTTAATAATTAAACTAATTATTGGCATCCAGATTATTTCTGGAACATCATGAACTATTTAATGTTCCACATAGCTCCTCTTAGAAAATTTCTCTCTCTCTCTCTCTCTCTCTCTCTCACACACACACACACACACACACACACACACAGCTGGAACATCTGGTCAGGGAAAAACAAAAACGTCTTGACTTCTTTAACATTTCATCCTAAGAACAGAACAGAACATTGTTTTCCATTTTATTTTTATGGACAAGTTGGCTCCCTTCTCAACAAGCAAAGTTTCCATCTCTTCGCCTCATTTATTTTGGAAAAAAAAATATTTGTCTTTTGCACGGGTAGGAGTTATTCTGATTCCAGAGGCTGAAGCTTCACTTAGCAAATAGCTCCCTGTTTGTTGTTTTATTTTAAAGGAATCTAAATGAAATACCCTTGGAAGAGAAACCCAAGGAACTAAATCCTAATAAATAAAATAAAATCTGGTGGGTGGTAGCGCATCTGGGAAGTCTCAAAAGAGGAATGCCAAGCAAAATTGAAGAGCCGGTGTTTAAAGATTGTCCACTTTGTTGTTGTTAACAATCTTCTTTTGGGCAGGGGACTTTTAATTTTAAGAACCCTCTTCCTGGAAGGTGCCTCATTCGTAGTTTTGTTCACACAGATGCCAGCCTGGCAGTTTTAACCTACAACCTCACAACTCAGAGGGATGTACAAGTTGTTTCTGCTACGGACATTCAACTGTCTGCACAACAGCTCCAGGATTCGAACCCCGAGACATTGTCTCTGACTTCAGACAAGGTAGGTTGGAAAATAAAACCTTCCTAATATTTCCAAAGAATTTGGATTTAGCGTTTCCCTTGCAGATCGCCTCTCCTATCTGGAGCTTGGTCTCCTGTTCAAGTTTTGATCCCTTGCCTCCTTTGATTCTTGATCCTAGCCTCCCCCAAAGTAGGCTGGAGTTAAGCTTGGACAACCATTGGCCTGAAATGTTAAAGGGTTGGACTAGAGCAGTGGTCGCCAACCGGTGGGCTGGGGGCCACTGGTGGTCCACGAGAAAATTTTGGTGGTCCACAGAGAAATGTCACCCCCAAAGCAATTAATCCAGGCTGCATGGGAACACAAGGCTTGCGTCGCTTGCATTGCGAACAACACGAGGTAGTAAAGAGTCGAGGAAAAGGGCGGAGGGGGGGAACTTGCCCCACTCGCCCCATGCGCCTCGCCTGGCCACTGGGCTGCTTCTTTCCGCTTCTTTCTTCTTCTGCTTTTGGCTGCACGCAAGAAAAGCAGCAAAAATCTTTTCTTTCTCTCTGCCAAACTCTGCCAGAAATGAGTCTTTGGGACCCTGCAAGGCCTCCTGCTCCAAGAGGCTGCGCCGGCAAAGACTCATTTCTGGTGGAGTTTGGGGGAGAGAAAGAAAGACTTCTGCTGCTTCTGCTGCTTTCCTTGCATGGAGCCAAAAGTCTCTCTTTGTCTCTCCCTGAGAACAGAGCTGGAGACGGTATCCTGCGATCCCAAATAAAGAATGATTGATTGGTCGGAAAACAGGGTGGGGGATTGTCATGCAGATTTTGGGGGATTTTCCCAGGGTCTCTGGTCCGCGGGATTTAAAATTATGAGTTTGGTGGTCTCTGAGCTCCAAAAAGGTTGGCGACCCCTGGATTAGAAGACCTCCAAGGCATACCACACTGTCTCTGGGAATTGGGACACCTTTCGTTCTGTCGAAGGTCCCCGAAAGATCTATCATCTCAAGTATTACTAAATCCATGCACTACTGTAAAAAACATTTGGGCCAATTATTCTTTGCAGAATCCTTAAAACGTCTGGATCATTCATGGTTTTTTTTTTAATACCTTTGTATAAATAAGGCCACATAGCTTTGTCTTTAAAAACAAACAGCCAATCCCTGTGGGTGTGGGTGTACAGACGCGAGTGTGAAACGCCACCCTATTAAAATCCATCCTGATAATATTTAAAATGGAATGTGAATTGCCACATTAATTTTAATGCGTTCCTGGGTTTGTAGCAGAATTAACCTTTGCCTCTGTTTAGCGTAGGAAATTCAACCTGTTTCTGCTTGGCCACTTAAGGGCAACGTTTTTTAAAATGCGGGGATAATTGTATTTTTAAAAAAAAAAAAATAAAAGCATTGCAGTCTGCTTTCAGTGACATGTAATTAAAGATGCAATCTATTCGGCTCTCCGCGAGTAAAGGCTGCTAGGGATCGGTTTAGACCAGAGGAATGTTGGTCATGCTGGCTGCTGGGTTTTTTTCCCCCCATTTTCTAAATCCAGGATTAGAAGGCTGGAAAGCAGAAAACTCGGAGGGGCGAGAGATTTTACTACGCTGGGATGGAGACGTCATCTTCATAGACCAAAACGAACAGGAAGTGACTGGGTTTAAGGCCCCAGGTAGGACAACTCCTTGCTAAACCAGTGGGCCCAGTTGGATGCTATTAATACAGGGACTCCTGATTTACAACAGTTCATTTAATGACCATTCAAAGTTACAACAGCCCTGAAAAAATGGGGGGGGGGCGCTTGTCCCCGTTTTTCACTGTTCGCAGCATCCCTACTGGTTCATACTTATGACGGTCGCAGTGTCCCCATTTGCAAATGTCTCACTTAGTAACAGAAATTTGGGGCTCAGTTGTAGTTTTGTGAGTGGAGCGCTTCCTGTGATTTCTGGCGTTTCTATCATTCTTTCCTCTCTGTCTTTGGCTTGGCTCTCTACTCCACTTAGAGAAATTTCTAGGTGATCAACGTTTTAGCTACGGCCAGTTGCTCTCGGCGGTCCTTCACTTCGGAGACAACACAACGGGCGTTTCTTCTCCTTCCATCCAGTTAATTTTGGAAGGGAACGGGGTCTTTCTATCAGCAAGACATGAGAACCCGGAAGAAAGAGGGAGCGAAATGCCATGCAAAGAACGGATTGTGTCCTTCAGGTATATCTGCCTGCTTTGATTCTCAGCTTGGCTGGAGAGATAAATTGTGTCGTTTTTCCTTTGCAATTCTCTAGTCAAGAAAACGCCGTAGATGTAGCTATCCCATTAAAGCTATAAATAGCAGGTGGCAATTAATCCAGATTATTCTAGATCGGAGAAAACCTAATGAGGGTGTTCATCGTTCTGGGGTTTTGAAACTGAGTTTTGCCCTGTCTAAATGGGAATTTTTGTTGCGCATACTAAACGGCTCTTTAAAAAAACAGCCGATAGAGCGACTTGTAAAATCATAGCTATGTTCAGAGTTATAGGCTGAGAGATGGGGAGGGAAAAGGGAAAATAAAATAGAATTAGCTGGAAACTTAGATCTTAAGATGGGGATAATTCTGGTTGAAATAAGGCTAGAATTAGATGGTGCGGTGAGAAGTAATTAAACCACTTGGGAATGTCTACCAAAGACATGCTTAGACTTCACAACGGCAAAACTGCTAATAGGTGGTCTTTGACTTACAACCATTTGTTTAGTGACCATTCAAGTTGCAACAGCGCTGGAAAAAAAAAGTATGACTATTTTATCCCATGGGTATTGCAGCATCCCATGATCACATGATCAAACTTCAAAAGCTTGGCAACTGGCATGTACTTATGACAGTTGCCATGTAATCCCCTTTTACAACTTCCTGACGAGCAAAGCCAGTGGGGAAGCCAGATTCACTTAACAACAGGGTGACTAACTTAACAACCACGATCATTCTCTCTTAACAACTGAGGCAAGAAAGGTCTTAAATGGGGCAAAACTCGCTTTACGACTGTCTCACTTAGCCATGGAAATTTTGAGCTTAATTGTGGTCATAAGTCGAGGATTGTTTTGTAGTTTTGGAAGATGCCTGGAGAAGAGGTCTATTAGGGCTCCCAGTCTTGAAGACACCATCTTGCCTTGGAGTAAGGTGGGGCTGCTTGCGAGCACCCCAGAGGCATCTAGTCAACCCCTCTGAGCACCGAAATGCTTGACTAGAAAGGGCCTCAAGTTAACAGACCTGTAAATAGTGCAACACGCCACAGACATCTTCATAAAGGCAGCTTATTTTATTTTTTTTAAACAAAGTAATAACCACGCCGAGCGCTGCAATATGTTTTGAAGTTGTTCAATTAACTCTAACCGCTGCTGGCAAACAGCAGGATGAGTTGATCAATGCTCCAACCCTTTCTTTGTGGAAAGCTATAAATATCTAGAGAACAGCGAGGGGCTGGGTTTCTGCGGAGGGGGATTAAAGGTTTCTATTTGAAAAGAAAACCACACACCTAGATTGAGCAACGACCTGTTAATCCTTCAGGTGACTTTTCTGCAAGTTTTGTCTGACTACAAGTTCCTGTAATTGGTTTATCGCAGGTTGCACGAGGGAGAGGAGGCCATGGACTTGGAGCTGTCACCTTTCCAGTTTCAACGGATGCTTTCCAATCTGACGAAGCTTCAGATCCAAGTTAAAAGCAAACCCAGATCGGGTATGTGGAACCACCGGAGAATGTTAATCCTCGTTAGTTTTGGGGAGAAAAACGAAATTGAGTCACTGCGATTACCTCTTTGTACTGCACTAGGTGAGGCCACACTTAGAATATTACGTCCAGTTCTGCACACTGGAGAGGCTACCAAGAATACAAGATTAACTGCAGAGAAATATTCCAAAACAAAAATCTCCAAACACGAAGCAGAACAGACAAGGTTTCCACAAGAAAGAATTTCTTTGCTTCCTGCAAAGAAGCCAACCCCGAAGGCTGGCTTTTATCCCTTATGGGAGGCGCCATCACCTTGCAGCCTTATTCCCAAGTCGCCTGTGCTGCTGCAGCTGCTCTTTCCTTCGAGCAGCCCTGCGTGCACACACACTGAGCACAGGCTCCTCAGGGGACTCTTCCTCACTGCTGCCAGACTCCACAAGCTCCGAAGGCAGCACCCCACTCTCCGATAGTCTTGGCCCCATCCCTGCACCACATGCAGGCCCCTCATCCGAGTCCTTGCTCTCAGGGACCTCAGCCGCTTGCATCTGCTGCCGGCGAACCAAAACAGGACCCAGGCCATAAAAATCTTTTAGGATCCATCGTAATTTTGAACCGTTGCTAATCATGCATTGAGAACTCCCAGTTCCTTGATGGATGGAAGACTGGTGGGTTTTCATTCTCCCTGTAAAACCCACATTTTTTTTTTCTCCTACAGGCAGAATTGCGCTAAAGGAGGTTAGACTGGCCTCCGCTCATCTGGGTTTCTCCCAGCAGGCTCCATGGGTGGAAGAATGCCTCTGCCCCCAGGGGTACCAAGGCCGATTTTGCCAGTTTTGCGCTCCAGGTTACAAACGGGAGAACCCTTGGGGTGGGCCCTTTGCAAGTTGTGTGCCTTGTACCTGCAACCAGCACGGGAGCTGTGACCCTGATTCAGGTGAGTGTAAAGTTTCATTCCTTCCCCTCTTCATCCCAAAGGTGATTTCTTTTTTTTCAGCCAGACTTTCCGTCAGCCTTCAAGATTTTTCCTTCAAGATTTTTCTCCCTTTGCTTTGCATCGTTCGGCTGTCATAAGTAACGGGGGGAGGAGGGAGGAAATGGTTACTGGAAGTGAACTGGAGGTGTTACAAAGCAGAACTGTATAAGCTGTATAAGTACATTCTTGCTTAGGTTTCTATCCTATGCTATGCGCAGCTGCAACACTTTATCAAACTATGTCAAGGTCAACGGACAGAAGCCTCATCGCCACCTGGAGATGCCCACATGATGATATACACAACTTTTAATTGGATGAGCCAATTGAACTATTGGGGGTGGGAACGTTGCCATCACTTTGCATATGTGATTTATATGCGCCCATTTTCTCAGATTCAGAATTCTTTTGTTGCTACCGCTTGGTTTCCAGTAAAAGATATCTTTTCTCTGATTAATGGAGTCTAAGTATTTCTTTCTTGGATTTTGAATGGAGCACCAGCTGACATTTTCTGGTCTTTCTTTGAAGATGTTTCGTTTCTCATCCAAGAAGCTTCTTCAACATCTTTTTTTTTTTTAAAAAAAACCAGAAAGTCCAGTTGCCTCTTGAAAAAAGCGCCTTTGGGATTGTTCTCTAAAGCAACATTAACAGAATCTTGGATGTCCTAAAGTACGAATGGCCCGCCGTCTCTTTTACAGCCTGACAACCTAGGGAGGGTTCCTTTCTGAGTTTCTTTCTCCTCTTGATATACAGCTCTGGGCCATGCTGTCCCTTATCTGGATTTAGATTTCTTCTGGGCACAAAGGGATTCGAGACTGATAACACGTTTGACCCCTCCCTCCAGCTCAGCTGGGTCATCTCCTACAATTATCCTTCCTAAGGTTTTTCTTTCTGAGAAAATCTTTCTAAGGTTTCCTTGTGTCTTCCCCTTCCTTCCACCCCCTCTTCCATCCACAGGCATCTGCCAATGTCTACACAACACCGAAGGACCTGCTTGTGAGCGATGCACTGCAGGGTTCTACGGCAACCCATTTCTTGGGCAGCCTGAGGACTGCCAACCTTGCCCATGTCCAGGGCAATGGCCTTGTGCAACCCTGCTGGACAGTGAAGAAGTGGTCTGCACACACTGTCCCCTGGGCCAGAGAGGTGAGTGATGCCCCCACAACAGGGCCCCAAGCACCCAGCCTCAAACGGCATGCAACACTGGCCCAAACACAATGTCACCGAATGAAGTGGTATATAAGTTTAAGTGTTATCGCTATTGCTATTCTGATTAGAGCATTTGCAGTGTGTCTACTATTATAAGACAACCCAGGAGCAAAACACAGTACACAGAGGCTTAAACTATTTAACAGTGGTTTATCTATAAGACATATACAGAAATATACGTGGTAGGCAAAATACCTGACAAGCAATCAACCTTCTTAACTCTACACAGAGAACTCTGCCATGAAGACAGGACACAAGGAGAGAGAAAACGCCCTCTATAATGTCAGCTTTATATAAACACCTCTTAAAGGGGTAAAGGCTTCTGTGAACTCCCTCTTCATCTTAAAAGGGCAATACCCATGCTATGCTGATTCATCCTGATCGCATCAGCCTTATATTGCATCAGCCTTTCATTGCATCAGCCTTACAGCAGCTGTCAGCTATTAAATTTTATACCTCAACAATTATTACTCTGCTGTTTTACATATACACTGAGAGTTTCTGCACTGGAGACAAATTCCTTGTGGGTCTAATCTCACCTGGCCAATAAATTATTCTAATTCTTCATCATTGTTATCATCATCCTTAATTATCATGGAAAATGCTCTGTTTGTGTTTCTCAGGCCGCCTCTGTGAATTATGCGATGATGGTTTCTTTGGGGATCCCCTGGGAAGAAACGGATCAGTGCACCCTTGTAACAGCTGCAGTTGCCATGGCAACACAGACCCCAACGCAGTGGGCAATTGTGACACTTTCACCGGCCGTTGCCTTCGCTGCTTGTACAATACTACAGGGGAGCAGTGCGAGAGGTGCCAAGAAGGCTTCTACGGGAATCCTTTGGCTGCCAACCCAGCCACCAAGTGTGCGCGTGAGTCCTGCAGCTAACCTGAGAACTAAGGTTTCTAAGATGTGCCAACAGCAATCAAATTAATACCGCTTATGAGAATCTTCATTGACCTACTGCCTCTTCCCCAACCTCTGAGTCTTATTGTTAAATCTTCTCCAAGAAGAGCAAAAAAACCCACAAACTTATAAGTACCCCACTCCTCTAAATTGGCTTCTTGGTTGAATCTCCAAGATGGACTTCATGGTCTGCCTGAGTGACAGCTCTGGATTATTCCAGATCTCTTTGGTAGATCCCGTTGGCCAAAGACAAAGAGATGTTCAAAGGAGGGCCCGCAGTTCCAATGGAAACAAGGACTTTTGGGGTTTGGAAAGGAGACAGTTGAGGTTCTCTCTCAACATAGAGTTGGAAGGGACCTTGGAGGTCTTCTAGTCCAACCCCCCACTCAAGCAAGAGACCCTAGACCATTGTGGTCCTGTCTCTTCTTAAAAGCCTCCAGTGATGGAGAGCCCACAACTTCTGGAGGGAAGCCATTCCACTGATTAAAACTCACTTAACAATTTGTCTGGCTTAACAACGGGAATTTTGGGCTCAATTATGGTGGTTCCTATATAACAAGACAAGAAACAATGGATGGAAACTAAGCAAGGAGAGATCCAGCCTAGAACGGAGGAGAAACTTCCAAACAATGAGAACAATTAACCAACGGAATAACTTGCCTTCAGAAGTTGTGGGTGCTTTATCACTGGAGGAGTTTAACAAGATATCGGACCACTATTTGTCTGAAATGGTAGGGGTTTGCTGCTTGAGCAGAAGGTTAGACTAGAAGACCTCCAAGGTCCCTTCCAGCTTTATTCTGATTGAACTCTGACTTTTTTTAGGCAATTGGTTGCATTTTGGCATCATGTTATTACTCCTTCTTTCTCACATTCTCTCTCTCTCTCTCTCTTTCTTCCTAGCCTGTAACTGTAACCCTGATGGCTCTACTCACGGACGAGAAACTTGTGATCCGGTTTCGGGTCAGTGTCGCTGCCTCCCCAATGTAACCGGACGAGAGTGCACCCAGTGCCTGGAAGGCTATTTTGATCTACAGCCAGGGGTGGGGTGCAGAAGGTAACCGGTGTAGGATTGAAAGATGAGAAGGGGGAGAAAATTCCAGAAAAGGCAGAAGAGGGGTACATAACACAGCTCCCTTCAAATGGGAGGGAAATGAATTCTGGCTACGGAATTCTGGGAGATGAAATCCACCATGGCTGAATGTAGGATTCTGGGAGTTGAAGTCCACACCTCTTAAAATCGCCCAGCTAAAGAAAGCTGCTCCAGATGATACTTGGGCAGTTGGGGATGTTCCCATCCAAGGAGAATCAGATACAAAACATGTCCTCTTCTCTCTCTCTCTCTCTCTCTCTCTCTCTCTCTCTCTTCCCCCCAAGTTGTCAGTGCCACCAAAAGGGAGCACAGAGCAACACCTGTCACCCCATCACAGGGCAATGCACCTGCCATCCCGGCGTGACAGGACTATCGTGCAATCAGTGCCAGGCTGGGTTCTTTGGATTCTCTTCTCAAGGCTGCCAAGGTAGGTTCAACTGCCCTTTGCAAAGGGCAGTTTATTGACCCATCATGGGAGAGGTGGCGGAGAGCGTTGGGGACCTCTGACCGAGGTTCAAATGAGGTTCATTTGAACTAAGGCTGACATGATAGCAGCCTTCCAATGTTTGAGGGGCTACCACAAAGAAGAAGAAGAAGTTCACCTATTCTCCAAAGCCCCTGAAGGCAGGAGAAGAAGCAACGGATGGAAACTAAACAAGGAGAGAAGCAACTTAGAACTAAGGAGAAAGTTCCAGGCAGGAAGAACAATTCACCAGTGGAACGACTTACCTTCCGAAGTTGTGGGTGTTTCATCCCTGGAGGCTTCCAAGAAGTTATTGGACAATCTGAAATGATACAGGGTTTCCTGTTTGAAGAGGAGGCTGGTCTAGAAGACCTCCAAGGTCCCTTCTAATTCTGTTTTTTTTTTCTCCTTTATTTGGTACCCACTTATGATAATCATTTGGGCAAGGCGTTGGCCTCGTGATGACTCAACTCCAAATGCATTTGCCATTTTTCGCTTCTTTCCAGCCTGCAACTGTTCCCAGATTGGTTCGGTGTCCCTCCAGTGCCATGACAACAGCACTTGTGTGTGTAAGAAGGGCTTTGTGGGTAACAAGTGCGACCGGTGTGATGTGAACTACTTCTTCGACTTGGAAAGTAAGCAGTGCCAGGAGTGTCCCTTCTGCTACAGCCTCGTGAAAGAGGAGGTAGGATTCTGCTTTGATCAGCCAACTTAGTCAGCCTTTCAGTCAGATTAATTGAATGTTCTTACTCAATCACCCTTGAAATAGCAACTTTCAGCCTTTCTGTCCCCTTAACAGGAGATCAATCAGCCTTAAATATATACAGATAATCCTACACAGTACGAACAGAATTGAGCCAAAAATTGCCATGACGGTTGTTAAGCGAGGTTTTTTTTTTAACGATCTTTCTTGCCGCAGCTGTTAAGTGAATCACTACAGCTGTTAAGTTAGTAACAGGGTTATGAAGTGAATTTGGCTTCCTGGTTCTGACTTTGCTTGTCAGAAGCTGGCAGGGTAGGCCACAAATGGTGATCAAGTGACTGACGTCGTAATTTCAAGTCAGTTTTGAGCCACAACAACCTGGCAGACACGTGTGATGACCACAAATACGAGAGCCTGTCCTAAGACCTCTTTTTTCAGCCATCCTAACTTTGAACAGTTGCTGAATGAGTGGTCTTTAATTGAGGAGTAGTTGCATGGCAGGGTAGAGTAGAATAGAGTAGAACAGAACAGAACAGAACAGAACAGAACAGAATGAGGGAATAGGATAGGATAGGGTAGGGTAGAGTAGAGTAGAGTAGAGTAGAGTAGAGTAGAACAAAACAGAACAGAACCGAACAGAACAGAACAGAATAGAATAGAAATAGAAATAGAATAGAACTTAATAGAATTCTTTATTGGCCAAGTGTGATTGGACACAGAAGGAATTTGCCTCCAGTGCAAAAGCTCTCATTGTACATAAAAGCTGATACAAGTGATAAATCATTATCATAGTCGTCATAAAAATACATCCATCATAAATCATAAGATACAACACTTAGTGATAGAATCAACATAAATCGTACTAGGAAACTCAATGAAACAATATAAATTGTAAAGATGCAAGCAACAAAGTTATAGTCCTAAGTAGAAAAGAGGATAGGTGATAGGAAAGATGAGAAAAAGAATATTAATACAGTCTTACTAAATAGCTTGACAACATTGTGGGGATTAGTTGTTTAGCAGAGCGATGGCATGGAGGAGGAAGCGATCCTTGTGTCTATATTCTACGTTCTTATTCTTCTTATACTCCATCACTGGAGGCTTTTAAGAAGAGATTGGACAGCCACTTGTCCAGAATTATATAGGGTCTCCTGCTTGAGCAGGGGGTTGGACTAGAAGACCTCCAAGGTCCCTTCCAGCTCTGTTATATTTAGTGACAGGTCAGGTCTTTCTCAGAGATAGATTCATATGGACTTCTTTCCTCTGCAGACGGACAGACTGAAGGACAAGCTGGCCGAAATGGAAGCTTGGTTCCAGAAGCCCAGCTGTGACCGATCCAAAAATGAATATTATCACGTGATGCTTGGCGAGAGCCCCCGTGGAGACAACCTTCACCGTCCGTACCTGTTAGAAGGTAAAAATAATGGATCTTACGACAAACAGGAGATACCATTTTTCCTGGACAAAGAGAGTTGGGGTTCCAGAGACGACTAGAAAAAAGACGGCAGAGACCAAAACATTAAATGATCTTTATTATCTTGTTCTGGATCATTTAATTGTGCTTAGTTTCTCCAGGTTGTAAATCACGAAGGTGTGACTGTTGCACATCTGTTGTTAGAGGAAGAAGACAAAGCCAGGAATACCAGAATAATTATTAATCTAGCAGGGGCAATTAATCTAGCAGGGCAAGATAAGGAGTTCCAGAAGTGAAGGAACGGAAGTAAATCAACCCAGTTGTGAGGATGCCAGGAATGGAGATAACCAAAGTCAACATAAGATAAACTCATGTTTGTTCCCAGCAGCCACAGCTCTCAGCTTGCATCTCTTTTAAACTCTCTTCCCAGCTGTGGCTAATGAAGGGAATCAGGGCCCTTTCCTCCCCCGTAAGCCATACAACTCACGTTGCTCCCTTCTCCGTTCCTCCCTATGTGCCCTAGGATAAAGAGAGCATGGGCCTGGGTCTTCCTCCAAATTCCCTCTCCCTTACTCTACCTCTACCTCTCCCCTGCTCTGCCCAGCCAGACTTTGCCCTTCCCCAGTTTCCTCCACAGCCAACGGAGCCACACTCCCACTCCCTGTCGGCTGTTCGTCTTCCTCCTCTGATTCAGATTCCGACAGGGGCATGACACCAGTTTTAGAGTCATGGGCCAGGAGAGTCCGGCCCGAACAAGGTTTTCTTAGTTACAGGTGCCAAAGCTGCCTTCTTGGAGAAGATGGCGGATCTGAAGGACTTGGTGGAGGACGCCCACCACCGGCTGAGCAACACCAGCAGAAACATTGCCTGCAATGGTCAACGGGCTACCAAAGTGTGCGGGCTCCTTTCTGATGTATCCTCCACCCTGCAGTCCACCCATGAGGACATCCAGCTGGCCACCGAGGTCCTGGAGAGCACGGTACCCAGCATTTTTCAATCTCTCTTCCTCCACACCTGTCCACCCACCACGCCACTTAAGGTGCTGAGGTGATGACCCCAAGTCTTTGACTTACGGCCACAATGGAACCCAGCATCGTTAAGCAAGACCGTCATTCAGGGAACTTTGCTCCCATTTTACGACCTTCCTTGTCACAGCTGTTAAGTGAATTGCTTGCAGGGGTTAAGTTAGCAACACGGTTGTTAAATGAATCTTTCTTCCTCATTGTCTGCTTGCCAGAAAGTCACAAAAGGGGATCAATGTGATCCTGGGCAACCATCGTAAATATGTGTCAGTTGCCAAGCATCTGAATTTTGATCAAACAACCACAGGGATCCTGCAATGGTTGTAAGTATGAAAAATGACCATAAGTCAGGTTTTTTCAGGGCTGTTGTAACTTTGGTCACTAAACAAATTGTTGTAATTCAAGGACTACTTGTATTCATCTTAACCACAGTCTGTTTCTTCTCCTATCTCCATCTACTGACCTATCTACAGGTTGTTTTCTGACCCAAGTACCCTGTTTCCCCCAAAATTAGTCCTAGCTTAATTTTTACATGTGCACCCAATATAAGCCCTACCTGCAAAATAAGCCCTAATTAAAACTTCACCCACTCCAGAGTGGATGGGTAAAAATTAAGCTAGGGTTGGGATAGGGGGTGCAGAGCTGCCCTACTACTTACCTGTGGACAGTTGTAGCCAGGCCTTACACACCCCAACACCTGCCCTGCCGCCCCATTTCTTCTGCAACCAGAAAGGCTGGCAGGGCTTTCCTGAAGGCCTCTGCAGCTGAGAGCAAAGCTCAGGATCGATCCAGAGCTCTGTTACCGGCTGTAGAGGCCTTCTGGAAAGCCTTGCCAGCCGCAGAAGAAGTTCCTGAAGGCCTCTGACAGCGAAAAGGAAGCCGGGGGGTGATGCACGCAAGTGAGGTTAGTCAGTGGATGCTATCCCCCCAAAATAAGACCTGGTGCCTTTTTTGGTGGCAAAAAAATATAAGACAGGGTCTTATTTGGGGAGAAACACGGTAGATAACATCATCAGTGTTATAAGGGAGGGAAAGGAAGAGGATTGTGAGGGCTTGGTGCTCTCTGAGCTGGGTTGTTTCCTTGCTATGTTTCATTCCCCAACTAAGTAACATCATCAATGCTAGAAGAGAGTGGGGTTTGCTCTCTCTCCCTTCTAGCACTGATGACATTACCTACTTGGGTCATGAAACGTCTGCAAGGAAACCATCAAGCTCGGAGATCAGTCCTGAGCTATAAATATTCTCAAATATTGGCCCATGAATGTCCATAAGGCCATTTCACAACGTGACTTAAGTTGTTTTAGCCACAAGAAGGGGGAAATTCGACATAGGAGTGATGATACACGATCTAAATTTCTAAGCAGTCCTCCAGCAGAGAGCTGGGGACGGGCAATCAAAGGCTAATTCGGATATCAACTGAGATAATTTCATAACGAACACAGAAAAGTTTGCAATTTTTGTCCCCACAGCCAGGAAAGCCAGCTGGATGCATTTCTGCTTCTCGTTCTCCGAGTTTCCAAACTATCGGTATCTAATTTTGGAAAACACGGGCATCTGCCCAAACTAATGAGTCCTTCAAAACAACTTTAATAGATGGAATAAATGCCATGCTGAGAAGGGAACAGATCAAGAGTTGATAAATGAAGTCCCTTCCCTTCGAAACACAACGACAACAACCCAACATTAAAGACGCTGCTGGCAGCTCACCACTCAATGAATGTGGATTCAATATGCTGAAAACCGAGTTAATGCAAAATCGGTCACTAAAAACTGGCCAACATGAAGCAAAGCTAACCTAGCCAGGGCCGTTGAGACCTCAATTTACAATCCTTCCTTCAGAGGTGCAACAGCACTGGGAAAAAGGGGTCCTTGCACTTATAACCATCACAGCAACCTCCATGGTCATGTGATAAGAATTTGGGTGCTTGGGAACTGGTATTTATTTACGATGGTTGCAGCATTACAAGCCGGCATCCGACAAGCCAATTGGATTAATGACTGCAAACCGCGGAGATCCACATAACAACCATGGCAAAAAAAAGAAACCCTGAAAAAACCATTGCAAAATAGGGCAGGACTCATATAACCATCGCTTTCCTTTGCAAAGGAAAAGCTCCGGTCCCAGTTTTGGTTAAAAGTCAATATGCTCTTGTAGGCCCTTCCTAACAAGGAACCTAATCATTTCCCTCTGTAGCCAGAATTCCAAGATATACTGCTTCTATGCCTGGAGGCTCTTGACCCATGTGCTAAATCTGTATCAAAGAAGGCTTTCTTTTGATCTGGTTTCTTTAGGCCTGAAATTGATTTACAGAGTCAAGTGATTGAAACACATTTATTTTGTCCTGACTGCAAAGCCAGCCTGTCTGTCTATCATGTCTGTCTATCAGCTGTCTATCATCTATCTGTCTATTTAACGTCTATGTATCTATCTACCTACATCTTATCCATCTATCATCCAACCATCTACCTATCTACCTTTCTGTCTGTTTTCTATCTATCTATCTATCTATCTATCTATCTATCTATCTATCTATCTATCTAGTGGCTTTCTAATGCCAGTTGCAAATGTTTGTTTGTTTATTTGTAATTGACTTGCAGAGCCAATTGTCAATCATTTGCATGTGTTTACTCCTGTGAAATTGGCTCCTGGTGCCTGCTGTAAATTATGAGTGCACACTTGTTTATTTATGTGCCGCTGCCACCCGGTGCCAAATGAAAACGATTAACCATGTAACTTGCTCATTTGTCTTTCGATGGCGGTTGCAAACGAGCACACTTATTTATCTCTAGTTGGCTTCCCACGCCAATTATGTGTTATTTTAATTTTTTTTATGGACAATCTCTTGAATGAACTGCTTATGTGCTTATTTTTGGTCCCAAATAAAAAAGAGGTTTATTGAATTTTATTTCAGGGAGCTTCATATATCTTCAGATTATTCTCGAGATCTAATTTATAATAAACCGAACCCTAGTTAGTTTTTCAATTCAATCAAAGTTTGCTAACTGGAGCCATCTAGTGTGGGGGGAGAATTGCTGACCAATACAGTACATAAATACTCATTTAGTAACCTTTTGAAGTTACAATAACACTGAAAAAGTTGCTATTGTTACAATCGATCCTCGCAGTTATGACCGTTGTAGCATGCTCACAGTTACGTGTTCAAAATTCGGGCAGTTGGCAAGCAACATGTTCTCAATTAGCCAGTGGAACAGCTTGCCACCAGAAATCGTGGGAGCTTCACCACTGCAGGATTTTAAGAAGTGACTGGATTCAAATTTCTTAACCAGTTCTACGGGTGTGGCCTAATTTGTGGGTGTGGCTCGGTCATGTGACTGGCTGGGCATGGCTTGTATGTAAATATTATAAATATTTGTATAAATATTGAATTTTTTATTTAAAAAAGAGCAACTTTTACCCAAAATCAGGCAAAGCAGGCAGGCAGATTGAGTTGCTCACAGAATCACAGATTCATTCAGAGATCTATCTATCTATCTACATTCGGCTAGCTGAGCCCGTCACATAAAATTCGCTTGCAAGCAAACTCACAAAATTAACTCACATCACAGGAGACCCCCTCCAGCTCTGTTCTGATTGATGGATGCATTTATGATGGGTACAACCCACCTGCAACCTTCCCAATCAACTTCCAACAAGCAAAGTCAACGCAGGAAGCCAGATTCATATAACAACCACATGATTCACTTAACAACTGAAGCAAATCGTTTCACCGTAGCTAAAAGGGTCGCAAAATTAGACACAATTCACTTAGCTTGCTTAGCAGAGGGAATCCTGGACCCAGTTATGGTTGCATGTTGAGGACTTCCTGTTTAACCACATATTCTTTTAAAAATCTATTATCCACCCCATCGAAGTATGACAAATACAATCTTATAATAGCAAAAAAATAATAATAATAAGGAAGGCAGGGATTTAATGGAGAGGAAGGAGCCCACAAAATCCCTCAAATAAACATATTAAACAGAAAAGTGCTTAGTTTACTTTTAAAAACAAATAGATTTTTTAAAAATACTCTGCTGTCTTCCCACTGCTACACCTCCGAGTTCTGAAGTCTACTTGTTTTGAAATAAATAAGCAATGAATCCTAGATCAGAGAATTTGCAGGGAAAGTATCCTTTAGGTTTTCCTGACCGAAATTGGAACTAAAATGCTCAAGCCCCATAGAAAATTCACAAATGTTGACCAATTACTCTTTCCCTTGTTTCTGTTTGAGGATTTTCGTGAAATATAATTATTTCCACTACCCTCAGTTCTCCCACGCTTCAGGCAGAAATCAAAGAACAATTTTTCTTTTCTTTCTCTCTCCACCTGCTAGGAATTTTCTTCTGAGATTTCTTATCAGTCTACAAACTGGAGCCGCCATGCAATTAGATCCAGTGCCTTGGCCCGCGGGTAAGTTTACATGCTGTCGTAATGCAAATTGTCCCAACTAATTCAAGTTGATCGAATGAATTAAATATCTGGAATGGTTTTAAGTACTGTATATGGGCAGACAATCCTGGACTTGCTGCCCTCCGTTTAACGTCCCGTCCCAACCCACCCCCCAAAAATCCTTCTAGCATTTCCATTTTGCAAGCCAGAATTGGGGTCTCCCTCTCTGCAGCCACGTTGAAATGGCATCCTTGGTGGACAGTCTGGCCAGAAGAGCCATCCAGACCTCCAATCTGAGTTATCGTCTTCTGCAAAACGTTGCAAACCACAGCAGGAGGCAGGAGTTCAGGCAAGAGATGGAAGAAAGGTGAGTTGGTGGGGTCCAGAAGGCTGTGACAAGCTGGAGGCTGTGCTCCATGGGTCTTCTGTGTTGATCTAGAAAGACCCCATTTAGAGTCTGTGTTGTCTTAGGCTTTTCCGGCGAGACATTCTAAGGAATCCCTTTTGGGTTGTTGGAAAGTCCTAAACAGAATAAGAAATATTATCACTCCCCAAACATGCGTTTCTCACTCTGACAAACCAAACCAAAAACTGAGAGTCAGCGCTTCATTTGTAAAACTGTGGAACTCCCAACCACTCAATGCCCGGATGGGCTTTAGAAAGTGATGTGATAACTAAGTGGAAAGGCCTATTTAAAGATTTCTGCTTAACATCACTACATGTTTTCTTTAAGACTGCCTCAGCCATGTTTCGAGATTTGCATAAGGCCTTCCTAATTAAGCCAACGTAAATTAAATTAAGTAAATTAAGGCCAGAAAAAATGAGTTTGCTCAGGTTGCCAAGGCGACTGCTAAAAGGATAGGTTAAGCCTGGTGAATGGGGTATTTACTGGTAGAGCTATTTTGAATCTTGGGTGGTCATGTGGGGGGAAAACTCCCACTAATTCTTTACATGGATGGACTTAAACTCCCAGAATCCACCAGCCAGACTGCTTTAAAATAAAATCAGTAGGACCGTGCCTGAAGAGCAATGGTCTCAGCTCCAATTTTTCTATCCTAAATCTCATTTCCTTCCAGTTTTGATCTTTGTTAAATACAAGGATATCTGTGACATCCCATAGAAACCAAGTCCGCCGTTTAAACGAATAAATATTTGCCTTGCAGTGGTGAGAAAATCGAAAGGATCCAAAAAAACCTTGTCTTGCAAATAGAAGATGCTGAGATGCTGGTTTCAAGCCATCAGAGCAACACAACCCTGGTGCAAACAGATACTTTGGAGCTGGTGAGCATTAGTTACAGGATGGGTTGTTTTTTTTCTACGTTGTTTGTTCATGGAATCAGTTTTCTCTCATATTGCATTATATTGTGTATATTTCTTATCCACTTGATGCCTTTTCCAGTTTGATTCCAGGTCTTCTAAGCCAATGTTTTTCAACTTCAGCAACTTTTTAGATGTCTGGACTTCAGCCCACAATTCCCTAGAACGCTGGTGGTAAAATTCCCAGAATCCCCCAGTCAGCATGCTTTAAGATGGGTGGACTTCAGATTTCTCAAGTATGCTGTGTGCTAAACCCCCAGAATTCTCCAGCATGTTGGCTGGGGGATTCTGGGAGTTGAAGTTTACCCATATTAAAATTGCTCAAGTTGAGAAACACCCTCCTAAATCTTCCTGCAAAGGAAATCTTTTTTGCTTAGCATTGCTCTGTTAGTCCCTGTTGTTTTAACAGTGGGTGCAGCTTAAGGAAATTAGCTTTATTTCTTCATTTTGCTAAGGTTTTTAGCATGGTGCACTGTGCAGAGCAGCCTGGAAATAAAAACAGAGTTGTTAATAGCCTGCAAATAAAATAAAAAATCAATTATTGAGTTTCCAGAGTTGGAGGAAGAGAAGAGAAGTTTCTGAGATATGTTTTTTTCAGGTAATGAGGGGATAGATACCTAGTTTGATTTAAATGTGGGATGAGGCGAAAATAAGGCAGAAAATCTTTCCAATCTCTTTTCCACTAGGTTGTTTCTTTCATTGCATGGAATTCAGCATATTTGCCTGTAGGCAGTTTCTGGTTGCCGATGGGAGAACAGGCTAGGGTTTAAACACGGCTGATTTATGGAGCACAAGCTATCCTGGGGGGCTCAAATGGAGCCCCCTCCCCCCAAAGTACCCTAGCAATCTATAAATGTCATAATTCTAGTAATAAATTTATCTTTCCAATTCTGGGTAGTTTTTAATTTCGATTAAATAAATCCCCAGCCTCTGATCTTGCAGCGCCCTCTGGTGGAGAAAACTGGAAATCTGGTCCAAAAAGCCGAAGAAATCCAACAACTGGTTGAAACGAAACACAGGTTGGCAACCAACAAATCCTTGGCTGTACAAACTGCGTTAAAGGAAGAACTACGGAGGATTCAGCCCTTGGAAGAGGTGAGTGATTTGTGACTTCATCTGCCCTTATTTGGCAGCAAAATTTGGCCCAACAAACCAGGATGCAAAGAAACAATCAACTGAAGGAATATCTGACATTCTTGGGGAGTCAATCTAGACTTCTTGGATTAACTCAAAGGGCCTCTTTAAAAGGGCCTTGCTATCAGCCCCGTAGTGTTCAAAATGGCCATTAGGTGGCAGCGAAGAAGTATTTCAAACTAACTCTGGTCTGCCCTCTGGCGATCAACTCGAGATTTGCAGCCGTGGTATGACTACCCTGTGCATATAACCCCATAACTCGCATTTCGGCTGGGTTCACACAGACCCATCATCCCCAGCCACAAACCAAGATGTTGGCTTCATTTAGTACATCAACTCCAGTCAAGCCTGCTCCAAACTTCAATAATCCTCTTTAATGGTCATCTTGAGCAAATGTTCGCCGTTACAACTTTTTTAGCCTGATTTTGTTTTTCCCTGTTTCACAGCTATGGCAGAGAACGAACAATGCACGAGCACTGGCAGTGTCCTCCCTGGACAACGGAGAAGCCACGGTGTCTGAAGTGAAGACTTTGGTGACCACACTGGACGGTAAACAGAGACTAATCCGAACCACTTAATCTCAAGAATATTTCCTCCTGGGTGGGTAAACTTGCACCCAGAGCCTCCTCTTCGCTCTCCTCCCCCTTTTTTTTTACTTTATCCATACTAACCTTTGGAAAAGAAAAAAACATATACCATCCAAAGCTGGACTTACTGTGAACCAGAACAGTTTTATAGGCAAATTTGGAGTTGCAGAAAAAAGGCAACAAAATATAATTTAAAAAAAAAAATTGGGGGGCTTACAACCATTTGTTTAGCGACTGTTCAAAGTTACAATGGGCTGAAAAAAGTGACTTCGGACCAGTCCTCACACTTACAATTGTTGCATGGTCACGTGATCAAAATTCAAATGCTTGGCAACTGGCATGTACTTTATGCCTGTTGCCTTGTCCTGCGGTCATGGGATCTCCTTCCAAGCCAGCTTCCGAGAAGCAACGTCCATGTGGGAAGCCAGATTTGCTGTGTGATGGTGTGTTTCACTTTACAACGGTCGTGATTCACTTAAGAACTGCGGCAAAGCAGGGTCCTAAAATGGGCACGGCTCCCTTAGTGAGCGCCTTTCCTTGTCATGGGATGTCATTTTACCCATCTTGAAACAGGATAATCGGCTTCTCGGTTTTGCCGGCAGGAATGAAGGCCCTGATGGATGACCCGAAGGGCCGCGCTGCGGTCAGGAGGAAGAGGGTTGCAGTGCGGGGCAGGACGATCGCGGAGACCCAAAGGAAGGTCAAGCAGGCCCAGAGAGCCCTGGGGAATTCTGGGTCTGTGTCGGCGAAGGCCTTTGAAATGGCCAGTGATGGGGAATCGGTCTCCAAGAAAAATGCTAAGGTAGAACAGTGTTGTGCTTTCTAGAACAGTAATTCTCCATCTTGGCAACCTTCAGTGTGGACTTCGATGCCAAGAATTCCCCAGCAAGCATCGTTTTAATATATGTGGACTTCAACTCCCAGAATTCCTCAACCAGCATCCTTTAAAATATCCGAACTTTGACTCCCAGAATTCCTCAACTGGCATCCTTTAAAATATACAAACTTCGACTCCCAGAATCCCCCAGTCCACATGCTTTAAGATATTTAGACTTCATCTCCCAGAATTCCCTCCAGCAGAGGGCTTAGGAATTCTGCCAATGCAAGCCACACATTTCAAAATTATCTGCTGGCTTTTTTTCCTCCGTGGTCCATATATTTTTTGGTTGGTTGGTTGGTTGATAAAAATCTTTTTTTAAAGGGGAAAGAAAAATAAGTAGAATTAGACTGTGTAAGTTCTTGGATGGGAGACCACTAAGAAATCCTGGCTAGAAAGCGGGGATGGAAAAGCAGCTGGGGAAAAAAGGCTATTTGGGGACCAAGGAAAGATGTCGCTCTGAAATCCCCAAAGGTGGCATGAGGGCAGCTTTAGGGCTCCACTCATTTTCCTCTTTTTTTTTTTTTTAACTCTTCTGTCCTTCAGGCAGCCGAAGATGTGCTAAGACAGGCCAAGCAAGAGAGAAAGCAGGCTAGCAAAGTGTCTTCCAAAGTCGCTCTTACCATGACAGAGATCTCCAGACAGGAAGACAAGGCCAAAGAACTTCGGGTCCAACTTGGAAAACCTGGGGAGGTCAGTCACCTTTTTTCCAAGATACGTCAGGAAAGGGATGTCCCAAAAGTGTCTTTTGACTTTGCTTTTCCTTGAAGGCATCTCGTTCCTCGTCCAAGAAGCTTCTTCCGTTCTGATTGAAGTTCAGTTCTAACTCAAGTTCGGAGTTATTCAGAACAGAAGAAGCTCCTTGGTAAGGAGTGAGACATCTTTGAGGAAAAACTAAAATCCAGTGGCCTTTTGAAAAAGGACTTTGGGGACCGCCGTGACCTGGATGACGGAGAATCTCCCTAGACCTTAAGAGAAGAGCCGCTGGAGGAAGCTAACCAAAACTTGCCTTGTTTGAAGGTTGTCAAGGAAATGAACAAGCTTGGCCAGGATCTCCAAGCAGCCCAACGCTCCTTGGAGATGGACATTAAAGCCCTCAAACATCTGCTCTCCAAGCTAGGTAAGTCCTCAATTCGTGGCCACGTTGAATTCGCCAAGATTAGCCCAAACCAATCTTGAGTTGTTGCGTGATGCCAGGTCATCTTTGACTTACGGCTACAAAGGAGCTGCCATGCCCCTGGTGGAGTCTGACTCTGAGGGAGAGGAGGAACAGCTGACAGGGAGGGGAAGTGTGGCTCTTGAGGTGGTGGAGGAGGCTGGGGAAGGGCAGAGGCTGGCTGAGCAGTCAGAGGATGAGGCAGGCCCATCGCCTCTGCATCCTAGGACACGCAGGGAGGAGAGGATAAGGGAGAGACATGGTCCGCTCTGGAGGAGAGGGCCTTGATCTTCTTCATGGGCTGCAGCTGTGACTACTGAATAAGAGGATGGACCTGCGTACGGGCGAGCGCTGGAAACAAAGCATGGAAATATCTCTAGTTTATGGTTCCTTTCTGAGTTTGGCGTCCTTCCTAGCGTGTGTTCTGTTATCTGTGGACATCCTCCAGCCCTTATCTTGCCTGGCTTGTGTTGCTTTTTTCCTTCTTCTTGTAACTGTTTGTGTGGGTGTTTTTTGTCTTCCATCAAGGATATTCGGAGCTTTGGAAGCAAAGTGAAGGAATAAAAGGGGCTTCACCTGTTTTCTGTGACTGTGTTTGTTTTGTATCCCACCCTGGGTCATCCCAGGAGCCCAAACGGTCACTAAACAAGTGGTTTTAAGTCAGGGTCTACCTGTACATTAACTAGCTGATAATTAAGCAAGTGGTGTTAAAATAGACCGGGGGTCTTCCAACTTGACAGCTTTAAGACTAGTGGACTTCAACTCCCAGAATTCCTCCTCCAGTCATGTTAGCTCAGGAATTCTGGGAGTTGAAGTCCACAAGTCTTAAAACTTGCCAAGTTTGAAGACCCTTGAAATAGACATTTAAAAGGCAGAGTTGATCAAACATACCTGTGGATTTAGCTTTTACCAGGCAAGGAATACACCTGTTCTGTGGCTGAGCTTTCAGCATTTCCAGTCATTTCCACTAGAGGGCAGACTCTTCTTTCCATAAAGATTCTTTTTTAAAAAAATTAAATCACTTTTGGGTTGAGCTTTCTTGGAGCAATTCATAAAGCTTCTTCCATAACGTTGGTTTCTCACTGCCAAGATTTTGTAATCTAGCCTGCTTTCGTTAATAAATTGAAGAAATCACCCCATATTTTGTTGTGTCTAAAATTACCCCAACATACATTCAGACTAAAACATACGATGAACGGTTACAGGAACCGGGCATGTCTAGTCTAGTGAAGGACCAGGGGAGACCGGATAGCAGGCGTCAACACTCTGTTTTGCTTCCCCAGGGAACCGGGATCAGTCCGCGGCTGTGCTCCATGCGAGCCAGGTCCAGCTGGCAACGTTGAAGCGACGCCTGGCAGGACCTGGCGCCCTGAATGAGACGCTGGGCATCTTGGTACAGGAAGCTGAGCATCAGAGGGCATCTCTGGAGGCCTTCGAACAAGATCTAGAAGAGATCCAGAGTGACCAGAAGAACTTAGAAGCCATTCTTCAGAACTTGCCCAGCGGCTGTTAAGGGCTGAAAGGGAGACTGGCGCCGCCGGCAGAATTGTGTAGATTGAAGACTGGCAGTGAGGGAATCAATATAGACCCTTTTTAATAATAATTTTTTTAAAAAAGGAAATGTTCCCAGAATGCAATGGGCAAGGGAGGCAGACTGAGACATCTTTGTCAGGGACAGAGAATAATAGCTTGAGAAAACTATCTTGGCTGCCGGACCAACCTTAAGAATCAAACCCTGAAATGGAGACAGTGCAGCCATGAGGACGAGAAACCTGAAACAGCCATTTTACGAGTCTTGGGGAAATGAGCATTGTGCTTTTTTTGGTCCAAGGAGTTTTGGACCCTGGTTGAGGGTGTGTGGGGAGGTGGGGAAACGATGATTCTATGATATTGGCAGAGATTTGAACCCTGATGCAGAAAAATTGAAAGTTGGATGCCAGGATCGGGAGTAAATCGAGTGCAGGGATGTAGAATTTGGGAGTAAAATCCAGTGAAATGTGAAATTTGTTTGTGACCCTTTCCAGTTCCTCAGAAGTTTGAGAAATGTTTAGAGAGAAATCCTCATTTAAGGCAAGCTTTAAAAACAAAACAAAGCCGTCACTTAGCTGTGCAATTGACTAGACCAACACGGTGGTGAAATTGACCGCACCCAGGTTGTGAAATTGACTTTGTGAAATTGGCCCGTCCACAATGGTGAAACTGGACCAGAACCGCGTCTGGGAAATCGGCATCCAAACAGAAGATCCAAAATTTGATATTTTCCCATCCCTCGTCCTGAAAAGTACCACCTTCGCCAACCAAGACCCAAACCTGTGATGTTCTTGGATGCAACCTGCGGAAGGCTTCTCTCTCTCCCTGTTGAACGTTGGCCCGGCAAATCCTCCTCGTATTCAGCGATCTGGAATCCATTAGCTTGCTGACACTAAAAGTGATTTCAGCTTCAGAGAGAGAAACTCTGCAGTTACATTCACCCATATAATCGGGAAAGCTTTATTCTGAATTTTTAAGAATGCAGGATTTTGTACTGTACAGCTGTATGTGTTAATATATCTCTTTTCTTGACCCCAGCTTTTCAATCCTGCTTTAAAACGGCAACGAGATCTTATAGCTGATGATGTGAACGTTTACAAATATCTTTGGGGGGTTTTTTCCTCCCCAGCCTGGGCAGGAAACTCTGGGATTGTATTCATTAAGGATCAGCAAATGGGATGCTAAATCCTACACCCAGGATGGATTATCCCCTTTACATCCTCATTCCCTGCATGCATAAATCGATCGATTTACATTTTAAATATTTAAATGAGGCCTTTGGTGAAGCTCCCGTCACCTCGAAAGAACGAGAGGGAAATTGCTCAGCAAGAATACCAAGTGGCTCAAATTAATAGACATCACCAGCCCTTTAAGAGTCATTTCAGGCTGAGTTAATAACCCCGTGTTTAGCTGTGAGCCATGATAGGGTTGGGTTGGCACGATGCGGTAATCCCTAAACTATGATTTATAGGCTCCAATGGGCGTCCTGACACGAACGAGACCAAAAAGAGAAATTTATAGCTTTGCAGGCAATGACTTAACCACCACAACTGAGGCCCAGATTTCTGCTGTTAAGCAAGACAGTTGTTAAGTGGGTTTAACAACCTTTCTTGCCACCGTTGTTAAGTGAATCTCGCTTCCCCTTTGATTTTGCTTGTCGGAAGGTCGCAAAAGGGGACCTCGGGACCCCCCTGGGAAACTGCGACTGTCGTAAATATGAATTAGTGCCTGAACTTTCATCACGTGACCAGGGGGGTTGATGCAACGGCCGTTAAGTGTGAAAAACAGTCGTTTCTAGTATCATCGTAACTTCGAACGGTCAATAAATGAACCATTGTAAGTTGAGGACTACTTAAAAGTAGCGATCAACTCTTTAGATATCACAGAACTACAGCTCCTATCATCCTCTACCCATTCCTGTGCTGGCAGGGGGTCCTGGGAGTTGTAGTCCAGGAAGCATCTTCCGCAGAGCTTTTTCCTTAAAATTGCAACCCCAGGATGTCCGTTTTTCCATCCAGAAAGATCCAGAAAAGGAACAGCCAGATAGCTATTTAATAAATTGCGTGAGCTGCTCTGCTGCTGCTTTTATTTATTAAATTGTTTTTTTTCTATTGAAGAAGAAATGACTGAATTAAAAACATGTAAAGCAGAACGGAAGCAGAAAAAAAAAAGGAAGATGAACAGTGTGAGAAAAGAATAAAAGGAGGAGAAGAAAAGGAAAAAAAAAAAGAATTAGAGAAAGAATTAGCTTTCCACCATTTGCTTGTAAACACATTTAACTTTTATCTTCTCTTTCTGAGGCTGCCCTGTAGCTAAACTGCGTGAGCTTTTTATACTGGGAAGAAAAATGTGCATTGTTGTTGTTGTCTTCCTTTATAGAGAGGAAAGGACGTGTTTTATCTGAATTCTTTCCTTCCCTATCTTTTTAAGTCCTGCCAATGCAAGTGTTAAAGAACAGCGTTGAAGAAAACAACCAACCCGTTGTTATTCCACCTTGAAAGGGAGGGGGAAAAAAAATTGAGATAATCAAGAGAGCAGATTCCAACACTGAGAGCAGATTCCCCCAAGGACATTACTAAACCTCTGGAATCCTTGCGCAAACATCCCTCGGCCCTGGGAAATCTCGGTTTATCTTCTCACCAGAGTTTTGAAACCTGACATGGGAGAACAGAAGATCTAGGAAGAAAACAAAAATAATAACAATGCCACAACAATGGTTGTTGGTGTGAAAAGCGGACTCAAGTTTCTCTCTTCAGTGCCGTTGTAACTTCGAACGGCTACTAAGTGAAGCCCAGGGCTACCTGCAATCCAGGGGTTGTCTGGGCAGGACCATGTAGAGTGGCGTAACCGCTTTCGATGATGGTTAATGCTTTTGTCTCCAAGGCGCAGTGTTTGGGCAGCTGCAATAAAGCAAAGGTATTAGGCTGACGGTCGAAAAAGGGGGTGACACACTAGACCCTAAACCTAACCCTGATTTGGCCCCTGGGTTTGTAGGGACCCCTGTGATGGGCAGGGTGGAGGAGACCCTGGGCTGCTCTCTGTGTCCTGGGCCAAGTTGACAAACCTCTCCAGGAACGTTGTGGATAATAAGTGCTTTGGGCCTTTCAGGAGGTGATTCAGGTTCTTGGCTCAACCAAGTTGGGTGGAGGGTCCCTGGGAAGGGCCTGGTTGATCCATGCCTGTTTGGCTGCATTTCTGAACCATATATAAATTTTGTTTCTCCCAGGAAATTTGAAAGCAGAATAGAGCAGGGATAAACTTTCTTTCTTTCTTTCTTTCTTTTTTCTCTCTCTCTCCTTTCCTTCTATCTGTCTTTCTTTGTCTATCTTTCCGTCTTGATGTGCACTGAAGATGGTGTTTGATTTCATTGTACGAGGTGAAATGACAATAAAGTAAACTAAACTTTCTGTCCTTTCTTCTCTCTTTTCCCCTCTCATTCTTTCTCCATCAATTTCTAATTTTTCTTCTTCCTTTCTTCTATCTCTCTCATCTTTTTTCCTTCCTTTCCACCCTCTCTTTCTATATTACTTCCTTTTATTTTTCCTTCCTTCTCTCAGCTCTCTTCCCTTCTTTCCTTCCATGCATCCCTTCCTTCCTTCCTTCCTTCCTTCCTTCCTTCCTTCCCTCCCTCCCTCCCTCCTTCCTTCCTTCCTTCCTTCTTTCCTTCCATCCATCCATCCATCTGCCTCCACACCTCAGAAACACAGCCGGGGAATTTCTCATCAAGTGTTGTGTGACCCAGCCCGGGACAAAGGAAAGTTAGCAGCATGACCAAGTTGGAAGGGACCTTGGAGGTCTTCTAGTCCAACCCTCTCCTCAAGCAAGAGACCCTATCCCATTCCAGACAAATAACCGTCCAGTCCCTTCTTAAAAACCTCCAGTGATGGAGCACCCACAACTTCTGGAGAGAAGCCCTTCCACCGATTAATTATTGTCAACTGTCAGGAAAAAAAATTCTCTTTAATTCTAGCTTTGGGCCCCTGGGGGGGTGGGAACCGTTGTGTCGTGTTAACCACACTTCCAGCTGGTTTATATCTATTGTGTTTGACTGCAGCCTTCCTGAAGGCAAGCCTCCTAATTATTATTATTATAACCCTTGAAGCACCTCTGCCAATGCCCAGAGCAACGCCTTCATCATGGCACAACCGAGGAAGGGGTTAACTTGCCAGCTTGCTCTGCAACTGGAGGAGGGGGAGGGAGGCCCGTGGGGCGCTTGAGCCCTTGCAAAGCCTTCCTCCCCCCCAATCCCAGCAGAGGCACTCCACTCAGCCCGGCTTGTGAATGGCTTCATTGAAGAGAAATGGGCTGGCTTAGGTGCACAAAAGTCCCGCTCCTTCTCTGCTTGGCGGTGGCAGCAACGGCCGGCCGGGAGAGAACCAGCACAGCCAAAGGGCTGGGGGAGAGCTTCCAGCCCCCACCCTCCAAGACCCAGCCACCAGCATCCCACCATGTCCGTGACGCTCAACAATGCCCACCAAGGTACGTGGGGTTTAGTTCGGGGAAGCCTTCCCTTGCCTGGCTGTGGTAGTGTTGGTAGTGTTGGAGAACTCCCCCCCAAAAAGTGCAGCGGTTGCTTTCCAGACGCACAAAACTGTTTGTTGTGCATGCAGAGGTGGGGGGGGTCTTTTGAATTCCCCTGGGGGCACAGTTTCAACCCCCCTCCTCCTCTTTTGAAGACTAAAATATCAATGGGCTTTGCTATTTGCTTCTGCCTCCCTTTTTCCTTTAAGGCTGCCACTTTGAGAAGGGAAATCTCAAGAAAAAATATTCTCTTTTCTCTCTCTCTCTCCACGGGGTGTCATCTTTGGGGTTGAAAAGGGACCAAGGGAAGGCTCCCCATGAGATAAGGGTGGGTTGGGGGGCGGAATACTTGATCCATTGAGCTGGTAAAGAAATGCTATCCAAGCAAAATATTCCAGCTTGGCTTCTTCACGATTTTTTTTCTTCTTCTCAACTTTTCCTACAGGGGGGAAAGCCTTCCGTTTGCTGAAAGCTGAACAAGAAGGGAGGTTAGAAGAAATCAACAAAGTAAGTGGAACGGTTGGTTCTCTCCAACTTTTTCCTCTCTTTCTCTCTTGTCCGGTCGAGCCCACATTCACACAACCTGAATTTTTTAACTCCGTGCTTTCCTCAACTATCAGGGCATGTGGTGAATTGCCAAGAAGAGAACACGCAACCTCAGGAGGGAAATTCCAAAATTATGTTAGGAAGTATGATTTCATATAGAAAGAAGAATGGAAGCTTGGAACCAAATTCCAGCTGAGGTTGTGGATCAGATTTAAGGATCCTTGGGATAAACGCTTGTCCATCATCTGACCAAAATGTAAAAAATGGAAATAAAAATAAATAAAATACTGTCTCTCTGTCTTCTTTCATTTCTCTCCCTCCCTCCCTTTCTCTCTCTTCCTGTCATTTATCTTTGTCTCATCTCTTTCTTTCTTTCTGTCTCATCTCTCTCTTGTTCTCTCTCTATCATCTATCATCTCTCTCCTTTCTCTCTCTCTGTCGTTTTTGTCTGTTATCTCTTGTCTCATCTCTTTCTCTCTCTATCATCTTTCTATCATCTCTTTCTCCCTCTCTCTCTCTCTCTCTCTCCTTTCTCTTTTGCCCCAATGGTTGAAGGTTCATTTTGCACTTGTGGTATATAAAGCTGTCTGTTGTCTTGGTGGAAGGTTTTGGGATGTGGGTTTGGCCACAGAGGCGTGAAGAAATGTGGAGGCCGGCAATCAGATTTTGTGGCATTCAAGAAACCAGCCAGATCTGCCCTTTTTGATCCCTCCCTATGTTTCAGAATGGATCACCCAGAGTAAAAGGCTCCGATTGTCCCTTGGCAGCTTCAGTTTTTCACGAGAGAATGTGCTGGCTCTTAAAAAAGAAACGTGTGGTTCTTGTTGATGCAATCTAAAAAGATTTCCAAACAGCCCTCTGGCTTGAAGCGAACATTTATGCAAGCCAAGGCTTTCCCTGTGTGGTATCAGCCTGCAAAAGATGGGAAAACCTGCTTGAGAAGTTTCAGGTCATAACTTCTAGGAGTTGCTACCCTTCCTGCTCAAAGGGTGTTTGTTTTGTGTGTGGTTGTTTTTTAAATCTTAAAAATAAATCCCTTTGGGGTACGGTGGGGAGTTATGAAAATATGTCTCTCTAGATTCTCAAATGGATTATTATTATTATTTTTTTGCCTTTTGCCAAAGATAGGATATAGGAAACTAGCTGGGTTTTAGAATGAGGGGAGGGTGCTTAAAGAAATTTGGAGCATGCCAGCAAAAGCTCTGTGGCTTCTGTCGGGATTATAGGTAGTCCTCAACATACTGGAACCTCTGGAGTTGGGCGGTCAATAAATGAACACAGAATAACGGAAGGGACCTTGGAGGTCTTCTAGTCTAACCCCCTGCTTGCGCAGGAGACTCTATCCCATTCCAGACAAATGGATATCTAGACTCTTCTTTAAAACCTCCAGTGATGGAGCACCCATAATTTCTGGTGGCAAGCTGTTCCACTGATGAATTGTTCTCACTGTTAGGAAATTTCTCCTTAATTCTAGGTCGGGTCTCTCCTTGATCAGTTTCCACCCTTTGCTTCTTGTCCTGCCCTCAGCTGCTTTGGAGCACAAGAGAAGGAGGATTGTGCGGTGCTTGGTGCTCTCTGAGCTTGGCTGCTTTCTTGAAGATGTCATCACTAGCACTGATGACGTTACATGGTTTGGTAATGAAACGTCTGCAACAAAACAGCCAAGCTCAGAGAGCACCAAGGACGCCTGGTATAAGCTCCCCTGTTTTGGCCAGAGGGTTGGACTAGAAGACCTCCAAGGTCCCTTCCAGCCCTGTGCTTCTATAAGTAGAGGATTATCTGCATTCCATGTGTCTGAATTGACTTTCCTTATTAGGCATGCCACGGAGTCTAGTGTGGCTTTGCTGACACAATTGTTCATTATCTCTGCTCAAGGGTCTGCAATCTCTACTTCAAGATAACTTTGTGGAAAATGGACCTCAGTCTTAATTTAGGGACTGTTGACCTTTTTCTCTACTTTTAATGATGTGTTTTCTTCCGGGCAGTTTCTTTCCTTTTTTTTTAAAACAGAATGGCCCATTTTTTTCGAAAAAAAAAACCAAAAACCTGCAACACCTAACAAGATATTTTCATTGCTCAGTGTAAAGTGTTTAAATTTGGCTTCCCCAAAGCCTGTGTATGCTGGTAGTTCTCGGTTTATGAGCACAATTGAGCACAACATTTCTGTAAACACACTGCCTGCCAAGGCTACACATAAAGGAAGATTTGATTGTTGCTTAAATCCATTGATTGTCTCCTTTTTAAATCCTTTTTTCTCTGTTTCAGGAGTTTCTCTGTGACCCAAAGTTTAGCGATGAAGAAGACCTGGAAGAAAAGCTTGCAGTTTTTAAAGGTACTAGTCCACACTGCGTGAACCAAATGTAGAAAAAAACATTTTCCTTTGGGTTAGGGGTGGAAGCATTGCAATTGTCCAGAGGATGGAGAAGGAAACAACCCAACATGACAATCCGCAATGTTATTGCTTTGGATAGATCCATGCCGGCCAGGGAATTCTGGGAATTGAATTCTCATATCTGGGAAATACCCTGGACCAAATTTCAGTTACCTGGAGAACGAGAGTCCATCTAAGCCAAGGAGATAGGAAATCTTTCAGTTGTCCCCCACTGTGGATAGAAAACAGTTCTTCATCTTACTTTTAGGGAGATTGGTGAGAATTTATTTTCTTTTTACCAGTCAAAATTACTTCCATTCACCCTCCTCTTTTTCTTCCCCTCTTCTTTTTAAGTGAAATGGAGCACAAGTCCTATTGTGGTCTCCTGCAGCTTGAAGTTCTCCAGATGTTTGGGGCCACCACCTCCCTGGCTCCAAATCCAGCACATCTGGAAGGGATTTTGCATCCCACCAGTAGCCAGGTTTCGTGGCCAAATCCAGCCTGAGGAATTGGCAAATGGTGGCTAGCCTTTTCAGCTGGGAAGTGGGATTATTTGTTAAGAATGTGTCTTTGGCTACAAGATCAGGGCGTGGCTGAGGACTGGGAATATTATTATTTGCCAGTACAACAGATGTGAATGGAACCTCTGGGTTTTTAAACATGTTTGACCTCCTTTGAGATTGCATAGACTACACCCTACATTAGATGGTTTCACAAGAACAACTGAAGTATCAAGTAACCAACCAGCCTTGGTTTTGCAAAACATCCTCACACCAGGAAAAGCAAACAAGATTGACGTTGATCAGCAATGGATCTGCAAGTAATCCTTGACTTTAGCAACTGTCCAAGGTTACCGAGGTGCTGAAAAATGCGACTGACAATCAGCCTTCACACTTACAACTGTTGCAACGTTCCCTCACCCTCATTTGTTAAAAAAATTCTGCCTCTGAAGGAACGGAGACTCGAAGTTGTGAAATGAAATTCGTGCTTGCTGCAAAGACCTACGAAAAATTCAGCCTTGTGCCCAAAGCTGCAATGTGCAAAAAAGACAGTCTCTTTATTTGCTGCCTGGAGAGGACTAAGCGGCACGGTTGTGTCGGTTGTGAGCACACATGCAAAGCATACACCCCCTTTTTTTTTTCCTTCTCTTTCCAAATCTTTGCTCCTGTCCACTTCTGGCCGGCAAATCCAGCATTTTCCTGACCAAAGACTTTTCTCTTTTGGACCTGACCAACAATCAAGCTTTTGTTTCGATGTCTTTTCTCCCACCGGACACAAAGTGCACAGAAACACACATGCACACAATGCACCCTGCAAACTTGGAGTTTGTATCCTTCCCCACCTCCCTTAATGAGAATGTATACATGCAGGATCTCCAAGGCTTTTTTTCAAACCTTGTGGGCTCAAAGCAGATGGGAGAAGCCAGGGCGGTTTTCTGTTTTTTTGTTTTTTTTATAAAGCATTTTGTCTCCTTGTTTTTCCATGAATTCACTGGGAACAAATTCTGGGAAGCGTTGAGCAGCAACGACACAGAGGAATTTGGACCTTCAACTAATTTGTGCAACTTGTTAAGCCAGGAAGAGCAATGAGGCTAGGATTAACATAACCAAGTGTTCAACAGGTTGTTGGAAAGCGTTTAAATCATCCCGTTTAAGCCTGTTTTATGGATGGATCTGAGGCAGTTTTACGATAGGGCCACACATCAAAGAAAGGCATGTTACTGTGCAGCGTAAAAGTGTGGTAAACAAACAATAAGTGAACAGAATTTTGGGTTTTGTACTTTGCCTTACTCCTTCCTTCCTTCCTTCCTTCCTTCCTTCCTTCCTTCCTTCCTTCCTTCCTTCCTTCCTTCCTCGTCTTTCTTTTCTCCTTCCTTTTCCCCATCCCATTTTTTCTTCTTCTTTCTTCTTTGGTTGCCCTCTCTTCCTCCTTCCCTCACTTCATTATTTAATTCTTTCATTTACTTCTTCCTTTACTTTTCCTCTTTCCTCTCCTTCCTCCTTTTTATTTTGTGCTTTCTCCTCTCTCCTTCCTCCTTTCCCCTTTCTCCTCTCTCCTCTCTTTCTTTTCTCTCTCTCTCTCTCTCTCTGGCTTTCTCTTCTTTCTCTCTCTCCCCGTCCTTCCTGCTTCTTCCATTTTTTTTTCTTGTAATAGCAATCACCCAGCCTGATCTCCCAGGAGGAAACAGCTGTATTTAAAGTCTCCTTTTCTCTGAAAAGAGAACTTGGAAACCAGCAGAAAACAAGCATCAAAGTAAAGTTGCATTGAATAAAATAAAATAGCCAGCAGGAACAGGAAACGAGTCAAGGGCATTTTCCAGCATCTTGGCACAGGGATAGTCCTTCAGATCTTTCAAAACAGGGAAGTACGTGTTGCAAAACAAAAAGGAGGCTGAAAAATAAAGAGAGAGAAAACCAGAATATTTTCCCTGCTGCTGACTAAACTAAACTGGATAACATTTATTTACAAGTGAACATGAAACGGATCAGATCTTTTCCCTCGTCTAACGGAGATATCTCTCTCTCTCTCTTTTTTTTGCCTTGTTCTAACTCAAAAGCTTACAAGAAAAAGAAAAAAGAGAGAGGGAATCCTTTCTTGTGGAGGTTTGCCGTCTCAAAGTCACAGCCTCAAGGGACGAAAAGAGGAGGCCCACCCATCCTTTTCTCCAAAACAATCATAATAATGGCTCCAATATGTGTACCTTGCATACTGGCTTTGACTTCAGAAGTTATGGCTGCTCCATCAATGGAGGCTTTTAAGAAGAGACTGGACAGCCATTTGTCCGGAATGGGGTAGGGTCTCCTGCTCAAGCAGGGGGTTAGACTAGAAGACCTCCAAGGTCCCTTCCGACTCTGCGTGTTCTAAGGGCTGAGTTTGGATGGTGCTAACCTTTGCTTCTCTTTTCTAGAAAAATACATGGAGTTCGACCTGAATAATCATGGCGAGATCGGTGAGCTCCTCCTCTGGCCAAGCTGACCCCGCTTGAAAAGAACAAATCAGTTTGTTTTGTTTCGTTTTTGCATGATAGAAGGGAGTCCTCGAATTACAACTCTTAAACGACCGTTCACAGACGGCGCTTATTAAACAAGCCCCCTTCCATCTGGTCCTCGCCCTTAAAACATCCCTGGGGTGGCGTCACGGGACTCCGTGTTGTGTTTTATGTTATTTTTATTATTTTAATTTAAAATGTACAGTCCGCCCATCTTAGGGTCATTCTGGACAGCTTACGAAATGTTCTATGACAGTTTTGCCAGAGGGAGGGGGAAAAAATGGCACTTAAGTTTCAATGTTTCGCAAAGCCGCATACCCTCGCGAACCGTGGCTTCGCTTAATGACCGTGGTGCTCCTTGGACGACCGCCTCCAGGGAAGCCCCAACATCGTGACTGGCCCCTTTTAAGACCTTCGCGACTTATGCTCCACTGTGGTTGTAAGTCGAGGAACTGCCTGTACAGAAGGCAAGGGACGTAGGCGCCTCTTCTCTGGGGTTCGGTTAGCGTCGCCCTCCGCAAGGCCTTTAGCGTCCTCTCTCCGTCTGTCGTTCCTCGCAGATCTCATGTCCGTGAAAAGGATGATGGAGAAGCTGGGAACTCCCAAGACCCACCTGGAGCTGAAGAAAATGATCTCCGAAGTCACCAGGGGCATCAGCGAAACCATCTCGTACCAGGATTTTGTGACCCTGATGCTGGGCAAGCGGTCAGCCGTCCTCAAGCTGTGAGTATCCGCAAAAGGAGCAAACGATGGGGTACTTGCAACAGTAACAGATAAAGTTAACGGATGATCCAGAGTTGGAAGGGACCTTGTAGGTCATCTAGTCTAACCCCCCTGCCCAAGTAGGAGACCCTACATCATTTCTGACAGGTAGGAGTCCAGATGGTGAATATGACCAACTGGCAGTGGCTCATTTAGTGACTGTTCAAAGCTGCAGTGGCACCAGGGGTGGGGAGAAAGTGACCTACAGCCGTGGGATTGAAAGGCAGACTGCTTGGCAGCTGACTTGTATTCATGACGGCCTGGGATTTCCCCTTTTCTAATGTTCTGACAAGCAAAGTCAACTGAGGAAGCCGGGTTTATTTAAACAATGGTGTTGCTAACTCAACAGCTGCATTGATTCACTAAACAACCAAGTGGCAAACAAGTTGGTAAAATAGGGGCGTGCTTTAAACAGTGGCTGGATTCTCTCTTGGACTCCTTCAGTGCTCCATTTACTAACCTTTTAAGTTCTTGTTGGTTTATTTAAATGCAATGGCCACCAAACTTCAGAGGACTCCATCCACAGAGAGAGGAGTTTCTTGCCCATCACTCCAGCTAAGGCCAAAAACTATTTTGCTAAAGATTTAAAAAGCTAAAATGCAAGAGGAACAAGAATGGCAGGAACAAACTATCCATTGTCTTTCGATCCCCGTCTCGGTTTCCATTCCTGTTCCAAGTTTTGAATCCTGGACGGGGAACAATGACTCTGAACTCTGCGTGGGCACAAGGGATTTGACTCCCATTATGATCAAAGCTTTCCAATTCCCCTCCCTTCTTCTTCCCCTTCTCTTTGCCCTCCGGCTTACATCCTCCCTCCATGTCCCACCCAGGCCACGCACCCCAAGATTCGCCAGAGGGAAACCCGTTGGTTGTGATGTTGGAAGAACTTATAACTGGGGTGGGGTTAGAGGCAGCCAACTAAGGAGGTGAGAGGGAGCAGTCTAGCCATTCTCAGCGGAGAAAAGTTGGAGAGGTTGGGTATCTACAGGGCATCCCAGATGAGTAAGCGACAGGTGAACATCGGTTCTTCTCAAAGAGGTAGACCATAGAGTGTTAGGGCTGAAACGGATCTTGGAGGTCTTCCCAGAATTCCCCAGTGAGCAGGCTTCTTAAGATGGATGGACTTCAGAACTCCCCATCATGCTGGCTGGGGGATTCTGGGTGTTGAAGTCCATACATCTACAAATTACCAAGAGATGAAAGGAAGGTCATTTCTGATAATATTCCATTCATTCTTCTCTCCTTTTCTGTCCTCTCCTCTTAGGGTCATGATGTTTGAAGGCAAGAGTCAAGAAAGCACCCCCAAACTTTCAGGCCCTCCTCCAGAGAGAGACCTCTCGAGTCTTCCTTAAAGGGAGAGGAGAACACGGAACCTTTTCCATCTCTGACCATCACAAGATCTCTGCCCCGTTGCTTTTAAACCAGCCCGTTTTAAAGACGACGTCTGGAGGAATGGCGAAGAAAAGTCCGCCAGACATCATCCAGAAGACTATCTAAACCACCCCTCATTTTTAGTCTCAACCGTAACCCAAATAGCAAGCCCCATTGTTCTCAAGAACAGCAGAAAACTCTAAATGCAAAATCCAGATTTCACGGAGCGTTTTTCGAACAGACAAACACTCTCCTTTTTTCTCCCAAATCTGAAACGATCCAGATTTTCTTTACGACCACTTCTGTTCCAAACAGAAACTACTTTTTTCTGAAAATGGCTTTGTGTACAGGTGGAAGAAGAGCTGAGCCCTCTGATCCAAGGGAGAAAAGAAATTCAGATGGTTTAGTTGAGTCATATCCTTTCAGGAGCATAACAGCCAGAATTTCGCATCAGGCAGCGTGTTATTCTCCTTAAAAGATACCCGTCCTAAGCCAGATGGAGCAGGCTTGAGTGACATCATGGTTAGTTCTAGAGTTGGAGATCTACACATGAAAAAATCCCATTTTTGCTACAACCACCACAAAAGTTCTACGTGTCTTCTCAGAGTCGCTTTTCTGATTTCTGAGGGATTCTTTTTTTTCCTTCTGTCATCCTGTAAAATGCAAACATTTTCGTGATGCTTGGTTTTCTAATCTTGGTTTCTTTGTTCAAGCCAATTTCCTTGATCAGACCAATGTGTCTTCCCCTTCTTGGTACAGGTAATCCTCAACTTACAACCATTTGTTTAGTGACCATTTAAAAGTTACAAGGGCAATGAATAAAGCCAGTCTTCACACTTACGACCATCGTAGCAATCCCACGGTTGTGTGATCAAAATTCATTAGCAACTGGCATGTATTTGTGATGGCTTCACATGATCGTTGTTCCCAGCTGGCTTCCAACAAGCAAAGTCGATGGGTTAGGGGTAGGGTTAGGAAGCGGGATTCTCTTAATGACCACACAACTCACTTAACAACTGCAGTGATTTACCGAACAACCGTGGCAAAAAAAAAAGTTGTAAAATCGGACATGGCTCACTTAGCAACCAACTCGATTAAAATTCTGGTTTCAATTGTGATTGTAAGTTGAGGACTACCTGTATGTGAGTTGTGGAATAAGAAAGATTTGGCTGTGGAATTGGATTTGATCCTCTTGAGGTGTTCTTTTTTAATGTTTGAGTTCACCAGGATCAGTTCTCCATTGACTTGAATTCGATCAAGTTTCTTTCGTTTTCTTGGTATCAATACAAAATAATTTGCCGTTTACTTCTATTGTTTTTTCTTTTTTCTTTTCAACTTCCCAGTCTAACCATTCAGACTTGGGGTCTCGTGGTTATCTCCCATTCAAATGCTAACCAGCTTCAACCCTGCTTAGCTTTCCAAGGTCTACCAAAGATGGCGAGAGGCGCCCCCTGCTGACGTTCAACCCAAATGAACCGATATAGTTAGACTCACATTAAATAATTCATATTCTGGCTTCTGATGTGTGTGTGTGTGTATGTGTGTGTGTATAGGAGGATTCGTTCCACATGCTAAACTCGGGATCATGGCTCTATTCACACGACCTTTGATTACGGGTGTGGTGACCTCTCCCAGTGCACCATAGACCCATAGGTGTATTTCAGCATAATGTGTTGTATGAACTCTGGGGAGGTGTGTTATTTCATCTGTGGAAACCCAGCTCTGTTGTTCATAGACCTTCCTGATTGTATTGACAGGGGTTCTACTACCTCACCTTTGCTTTGACACTCCCTGGAGTCATACATTGCACAAAGCCACTCAACTATTATTTGGGTTTAGCTTCCTGGTTTGTGTGAACCCAGGAGGCTGCAAATCGAGGCTTTAGAACTCAGTGTGCCAGGTCAATCTACCCAAGTGTGGTTTATTCAACCAGCGGTGGTTAATCAAGTCTTGACTTTGAAACATGGGCAAAACTAAGCGACATGGGCTATGAGGAACATTTGTCTTCTAGGATGTCTTCAAAGTCAGCTATTGAGGGGTGTCCAGAAGGTTTTGAGGTATGGATGAAAATACAACAACAATGAACTTCAAGCTACCACATCTAGTAGCATAATTCTTATGGCATACATGGATCTGGAATTCAAGGGCTTCCGTTGACTTGCTCATACAAAGAGAAACTGCATCTAGTTCTGGTCACCACAATATAAAAGATGTTGAGATTCCAGAAAGTTTGTGGAAAAGAGCAACAGGAATGATTAAGGGGCTGCATGCTAAAACATAGAAAGAATGAATACAGGAATTGAGTTTGTATAGTCTAGTGAAAAGAAGAACCAGGGGTGACAGGATAGCAGTCTTCCAGTATTTGAGGGGCTCCTACAAAGATGAGGGTGTCAACCTATTCTCCAAAGCACCAAAAGGCAAATGAGAAATTGTAAATACATGCCTGCTGCCAAATCCCCACATTTTGATCACATGATCCTGTGACATCCATAAAAACAAACACAAAAACACCCACATGCACATTGACTTGTTGATTTTTATACACACAAACATAAAGAGGGAGAGAGGGAGACACAGAGCAATTGATATTTCATTTTTATCTATAAACACTTGACTCTTATTAAGTTTATAATTCATATTACAGACAGGCTCATGGACACTTTCATTTTTAACATTTTCACTCGTATTTTATTTTATTTGTTATTTTTTATTTACTATTTTGGTTCGTTGCACTGTCAGCCAGATGTTTTGACTGGATTTAGCATTTGTATCTACTTCCCAAGGACCTGGGATAGGCATTGCAGGATGTAAGACTTTCCAAGCAAAGCTGCCTTTTGCAATTGACCGACGGGAGTTTTGTCAATGCCAGTGGTGTTCAAGGGATGCTGCCGTTGTTTTGGGGACTGCACACAAGGCTCCTATGACTACTGGCATATCTCTGCTTCCTTTTGCCAGTCGTCCTGTTTCTCTCTGAGGTCTTTCTATTTGATGATCTTCTCCCATTCTTCCTCTTCTATTCTGTTACCTCCGGGTACTGCCCTTTCCACTATCTAGACTGTCTGACGGGTTGTGTAGCAGGTGGCTGTTTGAATTCTAAGGACCCAGAGCATTTTAAACTTATTTTATTTTTATTATGTTTATTTCTATTTTTTTCTTTTTCACACACAGCCAGTGTACGTTCATATAGAAACACACCAACTCACGGACATCTATTTTTTTCAAAAAAATATCCTGCTCCTTGCAGATATATATATTTGGGTGTGTAGCAATAACCAATTGCATACAGATATTGGGGATCTGCAGGTAAGCCTCAGTTCAGCCTATGTGCCCAACTGTGGCGGGGGGAGTGCCTCTCCTTGACTGGATTCCCATAGCCCCCCAACCACCCCCCAAAATCACCCCACAATCATATAGTGGCTGCCTTCCCACAACTAATTTTAAAACTAAGTCCAGCAGACACAAGACTGTTGCGCAAATGCAGCCTCTGGATGGAGAAATGCAAGCAGCAACCCTGATTGGGTTAATCCTTTGGGGAAGAGATCCTTCTTCTTGGGAAGAGATCCTTCTTCTTGCAAAGAGATCCCTTCTTTTGTAAAATCCTTTTTCAGAAGATGCTGAGATCTTTAGATGCTGTCTAAAAGGGACAAATAATCCCGGAAGTCGAAGAGTCTGCATGAGTCTATCATTCCCGCCTCTATGTCCTGATGCTTTTGTTTTCATCTCCTTAGCACCAGCCATAGAGTTGACCGACCGGAAGAGAGAGGGAAGATTCCGGAAGGACGTCATTTTTTCCTTCCTTCCCTCCCGACGGAACAGAACGTCCGGGACTCCCAGGCGGGCTAGGAGCAGCGGCGGAGGCGGCATCTCTCGTTTTCCATCCTTTTTTCTCTCGCAACTCCCCTTCAGCTCCTTTCCTTTTGGGGGGGGGGGCAGGTGTCAAACTTAAGCCGCGCCTAGAGCGTCGCCGGAAGCGGAAGCGCCCGCGCGTCCGTCCGGTTCCTCCTTCCCCTCCGTTGAAAAAAAGCGGGGGATGTAAGAACGGGCGGCGCGTGTCCGGGCTGCCGGCGGTGGCGGCGAGATGGGCGACGATATGGACGTGATCCCCGAGCGGGAGATGAAGGTGAGGCCGGGCTTCGAAGGCCGAAGGGGGCCGGACTAGGGGCGGGGGGCAGAAAGTGACGGAGGAGGGTTTTTAGTGCCCCCCCCAATTTCCTCCTTCCGGGTTCATGACCCCCCTTTTGGGGGCTCCTTTGATGAGTCTGGGGAGGGGGAGTCGCCCCCCTCCTCCTCTCCCCCCTCCCTTGTCCCTTTGCAGCCTTTCTTCCTGCACAACAACCCCGCCAGGTAGGCCAGGCAGGATAAGCATCTCATCTCATGTCATTATTATTATATTGTATTATATTAGCATTATATTAGTATTATTATATTTTTATTTTTATTATGCTGCATTTTATTATGTTATAATTATATTATATTATTATATTATAATTATAATACTGTATTACATTAAATATTACATGTTATACTGTATTATGTTATGTATTATGTTATATATATTATACCATACTAGATTATGTATATTATATTTATGATATGTTATTATATTAAATTACATTAATATTTTACATATTATGTTATCAATTATGCTTTTTGTTACTTTATTTTACTTTATTTAATTTTAATGTATTGTTTAGTAAGTTTGTATGCTGCTCCTCTTGCTATCCAAAGCGGCTTTAAGGAGCTTTCCAAGTTGGGTCCACTATGGGGTGTTTGGAGAGACCCTGTCCGTCCTTCCCCGTCCCCACCTGATTAAAAATAAAACAAAGGAATTATCCCGATTTGGGTAACTTAAAAGTTTTCCAAGCCAAGAAGCTGGATTTACTGCTTCCGCCACCGCACCGTCAAAAGAAATGTCCTGACTTTGGTTACCTAAAGCAAGTAAACCGACAGTTACTTTTTTAACAGTTAGAACATAGAACCATGGGGGCTGGTAGGGATTCCATTCTCATTCAGCTCAGCAACTGCAGAATAATAGGGTTGGAAGGGACCCTGAAGGTCTTCTAGTCCAACCCCCTGCTCAAGCAGGATACCATTCCGGACAAAGGCCTGTGCAGTCTTTTAGAAGCCTCCAGTGATGGAGCACCCTTAACTTCTGGAGGCAAGGAGTCCCACTGGTTAATTGTCCTCACTGTCAAGAAATTTCTCCTTAGTTCAAGGTTGGATTTCTCCTTGATTAGTTTCCATTGGTTGCTTCTTGTCCTGCCTTCTGGGGCTTTAAAGACCTTCTTTGTGGCAGCCCCTCAAATATTGGAAGGCTGCTATCATCCCCCTTGTCCTTTTTTTCATTAGACTAAAATGAAATTTCTAGTATATATACATTTCATTAGACGGAGTTAAAAGTTTGGATTTGGTTCTTTTTTTTTTCCCCCTTCAAGGATATCATGTGTCCCCTTTAATGTTTCTCTTTTTGGTAAAGCTTCTAATCTGTTTTTTTCCTGGCAGGATTTTCAATTCCGAGCCCTGAAGAAAATCCGGATCTTCGAAGCCCCCGAGGATTTGCCCAAAGAACGTGGCAACCTGCTAGTGGTGTCCAACAAATATGGACTGACATTCACCGGTTGTGCAGCCGGACTGCAGATCTTTCAGACGAAGAACCTGCTTATGCAGATTCAGGCTGGGGATTCTCCTAATAAAATAGGTGAGTTTTGTATCGGGGTTCGGTCCCTCCTGTTTAGCTAGTTTGCAGGTTTGTTTGATGGAATAGGTGCCACTGTGTGTCAGCTCTCAGTGACCGTAGGAGAGAGATGATCTCCACGAAGATCCGTCACCAGCCTGGTCCTTCAGGTCTTCAAAAGTTGCCCCCATCACCATATAACTCAAATCAATCCATCTTGGTGCTGGCAATATTCTGCCTGCAAAATGCCCAGCATCTATGCTGCCGATGACTCCAGAAGTTGTGTGTGCTCCAACACTGGAGGTTTTGTTTTTTGTTTTTTAAAAAAGAGATTGGACAACCATTTGTCTGAAATGGCAGAGGGTGTCCAGCTTGGGCAGGGAGTTGGACTAGATGACCTACAAGGTCCCTTCCGTTATTCTATATTCAGTGGAATGACTTGCCCTCAGAAGTTGTGGGAGCTTCATCCCTGGAAGCTTTCAAGAAGAGATTGGATTGCCACCTGTCAGAAACGGTGTAGGGTCTCCTGCTTGGGGAGCGGGGGGGTGTTGGGTTTGGACTAGACGACCTACAAGCTCCCTTCCAACCAGTTTTGTTGCCCTTCACCTTATGAGGCGTCAGCAAGATAGAAAGTAGAAAGCGGGTTGGACTAAAAGACCTCCCTTTCTGTTACTCTGTCCCTTGAAAGCCTCTCTCTCTTCAAAGGACAGAGCTGAGCAGAGAGGCAGCTAGGATTGGCAGTGTTGGTGCGAGAGGGATTTGTGTTCGTGGGGAAACAGAAGCGGCACAAAGCAGCCTAAGAAAAACAGAAATACTGTCCACCATGACAGTCCTCCAATATCCAAGGGGCTGCCCCAAAGAAAAGGGGGTCAATCTATTCTCCAAAGCACCCGAAGGCAGGACGAGAAACCATAGGTGGAAGCTTATCCAAGAGCAATGGAGTTGTTGTTGTTGTTTCAACTTTTCCTTTCATTTTGTTTCCACAGTAGAGAATATGCAGGGTCTTTTTGTCCCGACCAAGTTTTGGGTGCATCACTTGGCGCTCAGCTGTGATAACCTCACGCTGTCGGTTTGCATGGCCTCAAATGAAGTTGGGTCCTTCGTTGGCTTTTTCGACGTCCGCACCTTTGTGAATCAGGTGCGCTGGTTCCTCTGTATAAGTTTGAGCAACAAAATTTGATGTCTGCTTTGATCTTTTGTGCCTGACATTAATCTAGTCAACTTCTGGTCTTCTCATCTTTCTCATCTTTCCTACTACCTACCTTCTCTCTCTCTCTTTCTTTCTTTCTCTCCCCCTCTTTCTCTCTCTCTCTCTCTCCCCCCATCCATTTATCTACCCATCCATCTCTCTTTACCCATCCACCCATGCATGGGTCATCTTTCAGTCTATCCATCCATCCACGTCTCTCTCCATCCCTCCATGTATGCATCTGTGTCTCTCTACCTGTCTATCCATTCATCAGTGTCTAGCGTCTGTCTGTCTCTGTCCATCCATCCTTGTTAAATGCTCGCTTGATCTCTTCCCAACAGGCTAAACAGCAGAAACGGCCGTTTGCTTATCAGAAGATGGCAGGCGCTCTGGTCAACGACCTGAAGTGGAATCCAGTCAATGCCACGATGTTAGCTGTCTGTCTGTCAGATGGGAGTGTGTCCGTCTTGCAGGTGACGGACACTGTAAAGGTGTATGCCACACTTCCTGCGTCGGTGGCCGTCACATCTGGTGGGTCGCATGGTTCCATCCCCTCACTCAGACCTGGTTTTCTTCTTTTTAGCTATTTGTTTCTTACTTATGTATACCTCACCCTTTATTATTATTATTATTTTTATAAATTACTCAAGGCAGTGAACATACGTAATCCGCCTCCTTCCTCCCGTTTCTCTACAACAACAACTCAGTCACTTGGAATCGGTGGGGTGGGCTGAGAGAGAGGGGGACTGGCCCAAAGTCACCCAGCTGGCTTCCATGCCTGAGGTAGAACTAGAACTCACCATGTCCTGGTGATTGGCCCAAAGTCACCCAGCCGTCTTTCATGTTTGAGGCGGGACTAGAACTCACTTTCCTCTATTTTGTAGCCTGGTGCCTTAACCACTAGACTAAACCGGTGGAGAACAAACTCATAATCCTGGTTTACAAGGCCAGTATGCTGATTACTAAGCCATGTTGAACTATAGCTTCTATCTTCTCAGCATGACACGTCGTTGGCTTCATTATCTGGTTTGATAAACCATACCTGAAGTGTCCTTGATTGGCACCAAGGCTGTGGTGCAAAAATTGGCCTGATTTGTCTCAACGATGGGTTGTTCTCTTGGGGTTTGTGAGCCAGGTTGGTGTGGTAATTAATGTAACATTTTAAAGGCTATTTTTTAAAGAAAGTTGTTTTCCTCCCAGTGTGTTGGAGTCCTAAAGGGAAACAGCTAGCAGTGGGCAAACAGAACGGCACTGTGGTCCAATATCTTCCAGTAAGTCTTAATTTTGGCTTATTTCCGATCTGCAGTAATTTCCCATCCATTCCCAATTTGTGATTAGGGACCGGATGGAGTTTTGGGGCGTAGTTATCTTAGTTTAATGGATTCTTCAAATCACCCGGGTGGCTCAACATCCAGAATATAGATTAATTTGCAGAATAATTAGCTTAGCTGTGGGTGACTTAGAACTTCGCTGAAGAGCTGCACCAAACAAACAGAAACGTGGGGTTTTTTTTCCAATTTTTCAGAACCTGCAGGAAAAGAAAACAATTCCTTGCCCTCCATTCTACGTGGCGGATAATCCCGTTAAAGGTACAAAATTTAGTGATATTTCAGTAGGAACACGTGGTAGGCCTTCGTTCTGGTATTAACACAAGTTCCTAATAACTAAATTAGGCAAACCTGTGCTCGGTTTTGCAGAAAAATAAGAATTTTTTAAGTGACGTTTAAAAACGCAAAGTAAAAAAACTTAATACAGATAGTCTGTAACTTACGACCACAATTGAACCAAAAAAAACCCTTTTTTGTTGTTAAGTCCAAACAATTTCACTAACTTAGAAGCCTCCGTCCTTCTGGTCATGTTTTGTTTTTTTTAAATCTCTTCCTGAAGAGCATCTTCCCCCAAAAGGGACAATGTGGAATTTGATGGGTCAATAAATAAATCCACCTTATTACGAGGTGCCTCAACGATAAGGAGGCAAATGACTCTTCTAAAATAATCCCCCCTTTTAAATTGTTCTTCTCCAGTCCTGGATGTGTTGTGGATTGGCACTTACGTCTTCTGCATCATTTACGCCGCTGCGGACGGCAGTTTAGAAACTGCCCCTGAAGTGGTTATGGCTCTGTTGCCGGTATGTACCCACCATCTTGCTTTTTTAAAAAAAAATAATAAAGTAAAAGAAAAGATGAGAAACTAAGCTGTTCTCTCCATTCAGAAAAAGGAAGACAAGAGGCCTGAGCTGTTTGTCAACTTTATGGAGCCTTGTTATGGTAGCTGCACCGAGAGACTGCACCATTACTTCCTTAACTTCGTTGAAGACTGGTAAGTACCAAATAAATAGAATATTTATAGCTCAGGGTTGAACTGTGGAGTCTGGCATTCTCTGCCCCTTTCTTGCAAGAGTTTCCTTATCCAACTAGGTAACATCATCAGGGCTAGAAGGAAGTGAGACTTGTTTTCTGTTAGTTCTGTTTCCCTGAAGACATTTCATGACCCAACTTGGTAACATCATCAGTGCTAGTGAGTGTAGATTGCTCCCTGTTTATATGCAGAAGCTCTGAGCTGGGTTGTCTTTTTGCAGACGTTTCATGACCCAACTAGGGTAAATCATCAGTGCTTAGAAGCCTCCTGCCACTGTTGATGTCACCTAGTTGGGTCATGAAACGTCTGCAAGAAGACAACCCAGCTCAGAGAGAACCCTACCGGTCGATAGTCAAATAGAATTTGCAGGAAAAGACAACTCCAATTTCTGCTAGATGCCCCCAGGTGTAATGGCATCACCTGCTGATCCAACCTGAGATCTCAGGGGTAAGGTAATGAATTGGAGAAGCAAAGCCACAGTTACACAAAATTTTGCCGTGGGTTAAATCAAAATGCTTTCTCCGTTTAGTATTTCAACAAGCTGCCCAGGCCCTTGTCAACTGCAAATCACAAATAATAACAAGAAACCCCCGTAAATCCTCAGCCACAATTCCTTGCAAGCCGAGTTAACGTGGTTAGATCAATCCCAGTTCCTTCTCGTATCCTTCAACATGTCCGATGTTTGTCTGCTGTCTGTGGGCTGATCAGATCCCTCAAGGCTATGCGTAGGTTGTTCTTTTCACAAGAAACCTGAGGGGGAACTTGGTTTGTTCTTTAAACAAAGATTTCCCTTGAATTTTCCCATTGATGTGTTTCTTTCCTCCACCCCTTCCTAGGGATTTGGTCTTATTAGCTTCTGCCGCTTCCACCGAAGTCAGCATCCTGTCAAGGCAAGGAGATCAGGTAATTATTCTCTTCCCAAGATCTCTTTTGTAAGAAGAGGAGGGGAAAAAGTATCACATTTTGGATTCCTATGAGAGAAAAATGCCGGGGGGGGGACGGACCCCAGCCCTATCTGTCCAGCCTGCTAGGAGTTCCAGTTTGATTCTGCTCTTACAATACAGGTAGCCTTTGACGTACAACGTTTCGTTTAGCAACCGTTCAGAGTTTCGCAAATGGCGTGACCATTTCCCACACGGCCGTTGCAACATCCCCACGGCCGCAGAATCGAAATCTAGGTGTCGGGCAAGGCGTTCGTGTTCATGACGCTTGCCGTATCTCGGGGTCAGTCTCCTTTTTTCGTGACCGTCCGACATGCAAAGACCCCAGGATGCTCCCGCCGTCATAAATACGAGCCGGTCGGCAAGCATCTGGACGTGGATCAGGTGGTCGTGGGGATACCGCAACAGTCCCATGTGTGAAAAATGACACTTTTTGTTTTTTTCCATGGCAAACTTTGGTCATTAAAGGAGCTGCTGTGAGTTGGGGGCTACCTGTGACCCCCCCACGTTAAGGCCTTGGGGGTTTTTTTTGCAAATGTGTCTTGAGAGACGGATTAAATTCTCTTGCAGCCGAACTGGGAATTGTGGGTGTTGGAAGATTCCAGTCGCGCAGAGCTTCCCGTGACGGACAAGAGTGACGATTCCTTGCCTGTTGGGGTGGCCATTGATTATAGCAACAACACACCCATAACTATTAGTAAGTAGGAGGATTATTTGTTTGATCTGGGAAAGGAGGAAAGGTTCATAGTGACACTGTCTAATCTACCGACGCTGTTCGTTTTATTTTATTAAATTTGTATGCCGTCCACCTGTTTACGAAGCGGCTCTGGGCAGCTTACGAGAGTATAAATAACGCAACGAAACAATTGCAAGAGGCCTTCGATTTATATGCCGCTTCACAGGGCTTTACCGCCCTCTCTGAGCAGTGTACACAGTCAGCCTCTTGCCCCCCAACAATCTGGGTCCTCAGTTTACCAACCTCAGAAGGACGGGTCAAGGCTGAGTCAACGCTGAGCCATTCAGAATCAAACTGCTGGCAATGGGCAGAGTTAGCCTGCAATAGGGCATTCTAACCATGGAAGGAAGGGGAGGAAGGAAGGAAAGACGGACGGACGGACAGAAGGAAGGAAGGAAGGAAGGGTCCTTGCCTGCTCTACTCACACTTCCTGGATTTTAAGAGAGTGTTTCTGCTTGGTGTGTGAACCTTTTGCGTTTTGGTGTGGTTCTCCCAGGTGAAGATAAAACCTTGGCTCCTGCTCCGGTCTTGATGTTACTATCCACAGATGGCGTCTTGTGCCCCTTCTACATGGTCAATCAAAACCCCGGCGTCCGGTCTCTTCTGGTGACCCCTGAATCTCTCTCTGCCGAAGGGGAGAGAGGGGCGAAAGCCACAGGTAGGCCTTTGACGCTTCCGCTGGAGGTTTCTCGGAAGTGTTGGCGAGTTGTGTTTGTCTTATCTAAGACAGGGTCCCCAAACTTGGCAACTTTAAGACTTGAGGGCTTCGACTCCCAGAATTCTGTTCGGAGACCTCTGATCTAAGAAGTAACGGGAGTCTCACGGCTTTCCAAGAGAGCCTCCGTTGTAATTTTCGTTAACAACTGCGGCCAAAATAGTTGTAAGATCTCGTTAATGGTCCATCTCTCCCTTCCAGGCACCCCCGCTCCTTCAGCTGCCGCCAAGAGTGAGGCTCCTCCGTCCCCTCCATCCGCCCCAGGTCCATCCGTAGTCCCAAGCAGTGGGGCCACCCCCTTCGCTTTTACAAGCCCTCCTCTCAAAGCCCCCGTCCCGGCTCCGAATTCTTCTCTGCCTTATCCGTTCCCGTCGGAGGCCTCAACAGCAGCTCCTGCGCCGAGCACAAGCCAGGCCACCGAGTTCTCTTCTCCCGCTACCCCGAAGGCACCCCAAGCTCCCGTCTCCTCGTCCGGCCTCATCCCGGTTTCCGCTCCATCTTTCTCCTTCGGGCCGGCAAGCTTCAAGAGCCGCGTCGACGGGCCTGTTCCTTCCGTCGCCACAAAGGCCAGCTTTGCTCCAGCAGCGTCCTCCGTCAAGGTCAACCTCAACGAAAAGTAAGCGGTCTTTTTTTTTTTTAAGTCTAGACCGGAGGTCTCCAACCTTGGCAACTTTTAAGACTTGTGGACTTCAACTCCCAGAATTCCTCCTCCGGTCACGTTAGCTCAGGAATTCTGGGAGTTGAAGTCCACCACAAGTCTTAAAGTTGCCAAGGTTGGAGACCTCTGGTCTAGACGAATTACATTCCCTTCTCGCCCTCCGGGATGGGCCTGGTTCTTCCTCAGCCGTAGAGAATTGGGATTTGAGGATTCCACACAGGATCTTAGCTTTTCATTTATTTATTTGTATCCCACCTTTTATTGTTTTTCCAAGCATTTTTTTACCCTTCCAAACAAAATCCTGGCCTTTTAGCTAACTCCAGAGTTTCTTCATTCAGGACACAAAATTGCTGCTTAACGCTGGAGCTTAAGCTTCCGGCTGAATCCATCCTGAATAAATGTTTTGATGAGTTCAGGGGCCTGACTGACATCACAGGGGGTGTCATGGATTCATTGGTGCCTCATTGAGACATGGCCTGTATATAAGAATCTAGTCCACTAACAGCACTAAATTGGCACTTCGAGATGGGTTGGATTTGGATCAGTTGTGGGAACGTAACGATTCTAGGCTACATCCTCTCTTGACGCCGCCTCTATGCCTTTCTCCTCCCGCACCCGGGCCCTAACCTGAAGATGTTCCAGGCTTGGTTCCTAGCACCTCTTCATTTTATAAGTCAGACAGGTTGATAAATGCCGAGGAATATCTAATTCAAGAATGCTAGGCGGCGGTTGCTTTACCTATTTTCATTTTTGAGTTTTTCCCTCTTTAGGTTCGCGGCTGCCGAGTCTGCTGCCCCTCCCACCAACACCGGCCAAGGTTCTTCGCCCTTCCTCTTTCCCCCGGCTGCAAAGTCTACCCCTGCAGGATCCCTAAGCGTGTCCACGCCGCCTCCTCCTCCCGCCCCCATAAAGGCTTCTACCCCGGTGACTTCAGCAAGTATGGTTCAGTCTTTGCTTTCCCCCACTTCCTTCCTTGTGGTTGTCTTTGTCACTTGAGTGTAAGCTGTTGGGGCAGGGGGCGTTCCATGTGTTCCCACCCCGCTCTGTTCTTCTCAAAGTGACCCACTAACGGAAGGCGGTCCTCGATTTACGACGGTAATGGAGCCCGGAATTAAGTCACTGCCGTTGTTCAGCAGGTCGCTCCTAATTTTACTTTCCTTGGAACGGGCGTTCGCCTCGTTTTGTCTTTGAGGGTTTAAGTCGTAACTGACCGCTAGCAGCAGTTGTGCGAGAGTGTGTCCCTCTTTTCGTGTTCTTGCCCCCAACAGTGCGTCCACCTCAAAGCGCTCCGGCCACCTCGGGCCTTCAGAAAGCTGCCAAGGTATCCCCCGTGGCTCCAAAATCGAGCCCTTCGCAGGTAAGAAGGAATTGGATCGCTTTTCCGTGAATTGAACCCTTCCGTAGTTTAGTTTGGTTTAGTTTATAGTCGTTGCACCTCATACAACGAAATCAAACACCGTCTTCAGCGCACATCATGACCATGCAAATAAACGCACCCTTCACACTCCACACATTGAATGGAAAACCCCTGACACCACACCAACGCTGCACTATACAGCAGAATTCAAAAGAGCTCCTGCCCTGGGATAGAAGCTGTTTTTCAGCCTATTTGTCCTTGTTTTTGGTATTCTGTACCGTCTGCCAGATGGTAATACTGTAGTTCAAGCCCCCCAGGTCAGGTCCTCTTTTAGGGCAACACCCAGAAACTTAAAACTGGCCACTTGCTCCACTCAGTTTCCATTGATAAGCAAGGGCTGGATGTCTGATCTGCCTGATTGCAAATTGAAAACTGGGATGTCTGTGCAGGAAGAGAGGGTTGAACATCTATGGGTATCGACGGCACTGCCAAACTGACAGCCGATGCGCCCTTTAATCGTCTTTATTTTGGCTGTGGAAGGATGTAAAATTCCATGTGGGTTTCATCGCCTTTCCCAGGTGGCTTCGGTGCAACAGCGTGCCTACAATTCCTTCCTTCAACCGGTTGTGGGTTTTCTCTCTTCATCCTGATCCTTCATTCCACTTGATTCTTTCTCTTGATGGATGCTTTCATGTTGCCCCTTCCAGATTCGGCAGCAGCCTGCCGGTGTTGGGGTGGAGAAGCAGCCCTGCCAGTGGAAAGAGACAGATCCTGTCATCGTCGGGATAAGAGAAGAGGTATACTACCTTTGCCCCTGGGGACTCTTCTTGAAGTTTTGTAAGCGCCTGTTAGAAGATAGCTGTTGCGGCCTGTTGGCCGCCAGTCCCTCCAGCAGCTGAATTGGAGGAGGAGGAGGAGGAGGATGGGGGGGGCAGTCAAGGTCAGCATTAAGGCAACCTGGGAGCTCCGGGGGGGGGGGGGGGGGGGGAATGGAGCTGTCAGAGAGACAGAGGCAGAGCCTGGGTCGTCCATCAGCCTTCAGGTGGAGAGTCAACAGCCCCCAGATCTGGAGGTGGCTGATGGGGAAGAGGAGGAACAGCTGAATACAGTGCCTGATGTACAGAAGGCAGAGAGGAGAGGAGAGCAGTGGAAATCTATGGGCCGGTCCCTGGGACAGAAGAGCCACCGCTGCTAGCAAAGCTCCACCCTAGCTCTGAGGATAAAAGGCAGCGGGCGGAGATGAATAGCTGTGGCAGGCAGCCACTCGTTTCCCCTGCCGGATGGGCTTCTTAGCCCGCAGCGAGAGAGAAACGTTTTGCTTGGGCTGCCGGCGTTCCTAATTAAAAGAATCTCTGCGTTGACTTCAGAGGGTTTGTCGTGTTTGGGAGCTCTCTTGTTGAGCTCTTCTCTCTTCGCCTCCCGCTTGTCCTTCCCTGGAACTGAGCTTTTCATTCTCGACCGTCCACTCGGTTCCCGCAGATCGCCCATTTCCAGAAAGAGTTGGAGGAACTGAAGGCTCGAACGGCCAAGGCCTCGTTTCAGGTGGGCAGCGAGGAGGAGAAGAAGAAGTTACGCGTGGAAGCTAGCGACCTGCACACTTTCCTGCTGGAAATCAAAGACACCACAGAGGTAAGGAGCGGGCGGCGAAGTCGCCCGGTACCAAAAGCGGCAGGTTTGAGGGTAAAAACAGATCTGTTGTTTGAATTCAGACAATCAATCAGAAATAGAGCTGGAAGGAACCTTGGAGGTCATCTAGTCCAACCCCCTGCTCAGGCAGGAGACCTTTGACCATTTCAGACAATTGGCTGTCCACTCCGGTGGCAAGCTGTTCCGCTGGTTAATTTTCCTCCCTGTTGGGAAGTTTTAATTCCAGGTTCCTTCTCTCCTTGGTTAGTTTCCACCCGTTGTTTCTTGTCCTGCCCTCAGGTGCTTTGGAGGATAAATAGCTTGACCCCTTCCTCCTCTCTGAGGCAGCCCCTCAGACACTGGAATGCTGCTATCATGTCACCCCTGGTCCTTCTTTTCTCTAGACTGGCAATAATAAAACCAGGAGCAGATTATTCGTTAGGTTCAGGCATTTATTTTTTTTCCCCTTTGTTTTCCTTTATTGCTTTCAACGTATTCTACTTTAATATTGGTATCCTGCTTTTAGTATTTGTACAAACAATTCAAGGCTTCAGAACATGTACAACACACTTTCCTCCTCCTCTCTCCTCCTCCTATTTTACCCACAACAACCCCGCTTGGAGGAAGGTTGGGCTGAGGTAAAGGAACTGTCCGAAAATTACCCAGCCAACTTTCATGCCTAAGGCAGGACTAGAACTCCCAGCCTCCTGCTGATTGGCTCAAAGTCACCCAGTAGACTTTCATGCCTAAGGCATCACCGTCTCCTGGTGATTGGTCCAGAGCTCTAAGCCAGCTCTCATAGCTAAATGCAGGACTAGAACTCACCAGCTCCCGGTCACTCAGTACATGGTCATAAGACAAGGACATCCTGTAACCCGCCTCTTTCTCTCACCCGCCTCTTGCAGTCTCTTCATGGAGACATCAGCCTTCTGAAGACCAATTTGTTGGAAGGCTTTGCCGGGGTGGAGGAAGCCCGGGAGAAGGACGAGCAAGCTCACAACTTGGAGTACTTGCACCTGCTTTACAAGAAGCCTTTGGACCCCAAGAGCGAAGGGCAACTTCAGGTAGGAGCAGAGCAGCCGGATCGGAGCCCAGAAGCAAAGCCTGGAGGATCTCTCTGGTCCAGAATGTCTGATCGGGTGCTTTCCGGAAGCTCCTCCAGAGGACCAGAAGAGACCCAACAAGTCCTCTTCTGTGTCTGTTGTCATCTAACCAGCTGGTCGATGGAGGGAAAAGCTGCCTGAGATTCAGGAGGCGGGTTCGGCATCAAAAACTAGTTGCTAGCGGTAACCCTAACTGGAGGAGGAGGAGGAGTCACTTTGTAGTGTGGGAAGATACCAAGGATTGAACGGGGAAGGGGAGAGGAGAGCAGAGGAGGGGAGGGGAAAGGGAAAAGAGAGGGAGAGGGAAGGGAGAAGAGGGAAGAAAGGAGGGAAGGGGAGAAGGAAAGAAGAGGAAAAGGAGTGAGAGAAGAGAGGAGAGGGAGAGCAGAGGGAAGAAGGAAGGAAGGGAAAAAAGGAAAAGGAGTGAGAAGAGAGGTGGAAAGGAGAGAAGATAGAAGGAAGAGAAGAGAGGAAAGGGAGAGGAGAG